TCTTGAGAAGTCTGCTTGACACTCCGCCTGTCTACTTAAACATTCACTTGCTCCAATTCTGGCACACAGGCATTGCAGTATGATTCCTACCTAACAGTGTTGTGGGTATACCTACACCAGTAAACTCCAATAGTGCAAGAAAATGGCTCACCACCACCTTTCCGAGGACAGTTAGGACTTGGCAATAAGTGCTAATGCTCAGAACTCGTGAGTTAATTTTGTTTAAGAAATGCATGTGTAGAACATTATTCTTATGTAAGTAAGAGACTGTGTCAGTTGGAGAGTATAGGGAGAAAGCTAAAATAAAGGAACCTAACATAAAGGATACCTGCAAGTCTCTTCACATTAGCATAAAGTACTTATTTAATCAAAAATCCTTGATTTTTCATGCTTTAACAATCTTATCTCAATCTAGCTTTCCATTCTTCTGTTTTTCTCTTTCTCTCTCTCTTAGCTAATAGTGAACTCTGCAAACACAGTTAAACCATTCTTTCTCCCACTAAGTTCAAGCATGCTACCTGAGAAGAATGAGAGTTTGAAAACTCAAGTGTATATGTCAAAAAATTTATTAGAATAATTTTTTAACAAATGATTTTCATAAATGAAATGGAGATGGGTGGTAAATGCATTCTTTGGTTTTATAATTTTGATGGAAATTCAATTCGGTCATCTGTGAATCAAGTCCTTGCTTGTCCTCTTTTTAGCCTGCTCCTGCTGGGTGTCCCTGTCTCAGCATTGAGCAGTTTGGGTAGGTTGCACTAAGCTCTGTGGTAGGTTTGGCCTGTCTGTAATGAGGATGTGCTGACTGATTTCCCCATGAGTCTACAAAACAATTTGCTGTCGGTGTGACTGGATAGCCTCCCTGCTAGAAGCTATGGGAGGTCTAGTGTGAATGTGGAGAGTTTGCACTTCCTATCACAGAGGCCAGTTGCTTCATGTAAAGCAAAGTAATTAACCATGGGATTATGCGTTGTTGCAAATATTAAGCTTAAATTTTCACAGAATGAGCAATAATCTACATAGCTGTTTTCATAAATGGAGGGGGCAGCATGCGAACACCTGGGAATGTAAGTTCAGGAGCTGGTTTGTTTTTAGGGTAAAACAGTACCTCTGGTGAGTGCAGAGTTTTATTACAATGTCTGTTTATCAGAATCTGCTCTCGTATTCTGCAAGTCTGCATTGGAAGGTTTTGTTCTTTTGCCATATTCGGGTTTTTATTCTTTTTCTTTTCAGGAGCTGTTTAAATGGGTTAGTTAGTTAAAATCCATATTATGTTTATGTAATGTCAGGTTACACATGAGCTTAAAACCTTGCTGACAATGACACTGATAAGTGCCGAGGTGGGGAGTGTTTTCCACGGTGCAAGCAAGCAAAGTAGAATTGGGACTTCGGGAAACATAGGAAGGAATCTTTCTCCATGAGGCCATGAATCCTCTTCTGGGCTGGGTCAAAGCAGGAGAGGCCCAGGTTGGCCAAGTTCTTGAGGATGCCCTCTCTGCTGAGTGAGTCCAGGTTCACCTGAAAATAAATGAGTAAAGGAAACAATGAGCATCTTGTTCACCAGCTCCCACCCTGCATAACCCTCCGCTTAAAGCAGTTGACTGTTTTGCTGAGGTAGAGCCATGGTGCAGCACACACATTCCATGTGGTTTCTGCATTCCGCTGCTAGGAAAGAGCCCTATGCCTTTCCAGAGCCCAAGGCCCAAACTTCTGTGCGCTGTCGAGATGGAGAATGGCCATTTCAAGGCCAAGCCCACCCCAAGAGGCAATTATGCTTCTGAAAAACCTTGCTAAACGTAGATATTTTCTAACTGGTATCCAATTTCCCAATGAGAACCGACTGTGGTGTAGTGACAACTAGGCCAAGATGCCAGCTATTCAGGCAGAGCTTGAGACCCTGGTTGGTTTTCTGCCTTCAGTTTGATTTGGCCTCAGTCCCACCCAATTCAGCCAAACTAAACTGGTGGCCCACCCCTTGAAGGGGCAGTGTAAGTAAGCTCAAGACCTGAAAGGAAACTTAATGGCTGGAAATTAAATGTGAGTTTGAGGAGAGTTGATGTACTGCAGCCCCGGAGATGCCTACCATATAACTAGAAACGTTTTGTTCTTTGCTTAATCTGCCCTTTGGATACAAAAGTGTCCAACACCTCTCCTATGTCTTTAACTTTATATCTTACAAGTCTGTGTAAACAAGTCATTATGTACTTGGACCTCCCCTTTCTTTTCTTTATTCATTTATGGGTCACTGGCCAGGCAGCATTTAATGCCCATCCCTAATTGCCCAGAGGGCAGTTAAGAGTCAACCACATTGCTGTGGGTCTGGAGTCACATGTAGGCCAGACCAGGTAATGACGGCAGTTTCCTTCCCTAAAGGACGTTAGTGAACCAGGTGGGTTTTTCTGACAGTTAGCAATGGATTCATGGTCATCATTAGATTCTTAATTCCAGATATTTATTGAATTCAGATTCCACCATCTGCCATGGCGGGATTTGACCTGGGTCCCTAGAACATTATCTGGGTCTCTAGATTAACAGTCCAGTGATAATACCACTAGGCCATTTGCCTCCCTAAAAATATGAACGAGGAAGAGACTTAGACCGTTGCTACATCAAGTAGTTTGTTTTTCATCATACTTCTTTCGTTACAAACTTATTTCCTTTTGAGGTTGTTGACTTGCTCACCGAGCTGGCTTGTTCTCGTTCAGAAGTTTCATCACCATGCTAGGTGACATCATCTGTGAAGTCTCTGATGAAGCGATGTTGTTCTACTCTGCTTGGAAGTTATACTGTCCCGTCTGTTATGGTGAGTAATGTCATTTCTGGTTTTGGATCTGTATGGGTTTGTATATGGGGTCCAATTCTATATGTTTACTGATTGCATTACAGGTGGAGAACCATGCCTCTAGGAATTCCCGCGTGTGTCTATGTTTGGCTTGGGCTACTATGGTTACCTTGCCCTAGTTAAACTGATGGCCTTCATTGTTTGAGTGTACCGATATTAAGGAGAGCTCATCGTGCCGTTAAATAAACATTACGTAGGACAAGACAGGAAGGAAACTAGCCATCAGAATACACGAACATGAACTAGCAGTAAAAAGGCACGACGAACTCTCCTTAATATCAGTACACTCAGATAATGAAGGCCATCAGTTTAACTGGGACAAGGTAACCAAAGTAGCCCAAGCCAAACATAGACACACGCAGGAATTCCTAGAGGCATGGTTCTCCACCCATAATGCAATCAACAAACATAAAGAATTGAACCCTATATTTAAAGCCATACAGATCAAAACCGGAAATGACACTACTCCCTATAACAGACCGGACAGTATAAATTCCAAGCGGAGTAGAATAACATCGCTTCATCGGAGACTCCACTGATAGTGTCACCTCGCATGGTGACGAAATGTCTGAATGAGAACAAGCCAGTTCGGTGAGCAAGTCAACAAACTCACCCACAACCTGAGCTACAGATCTTTGTTAAAACTTATTTCTTTTTATTAAGTAGTTCAAAGCAAAGGTGGGAACATGAAATTCCATCCGGTGCATTGACTTGATGGGTACGTGCACCCAGCAGGTACAGTACACTGTTCTGGTGGAAAGTCGTTGAGCGCACACAGTGTGGTTAACAGCAGCCAAAGGAACACTGAAATATTGCAAGTCCCGCAAGTCTGCTCTGCCATTCAATAAGATCATGGCTGATCTGTTTGTGATTTGAATTTCACATTCCCACTCACCCCTTGGTTTCCCCTGCCAGCAGGAACCTATTGATCTCTGTCTTAAAAATATTCAATGACCCCACCTCCACTGTTTTCTGAAGCAGTATATTCTAAAATCACATTAACTGATAGTAGAAAAAAATTGTCATCATCTCTGTCCTGTTAGCTCTGTTGACTGGATGGCTTGTACGCAAATACAAAGTGATGCCAAGAGTGTGGGTTCAATTTCCACATTGGCTGAGATTGCCATGAAGGATTTGCCTCCTTAACCTGTCCCCTCACCTGAGGCATGGTGACCCTAAGGTTAACCCACCACCTGTTGGCACTCTGTAATGGGAGAGCATCCCTCTGATCTGGTAAGACTATGATGACTCTACCTTTACCTTTGTCTTCTTCACAGCACACTTTCCACTTCTCTTGGTGTCATCCATGAATTTAGCTACCCATCAGTGCAGGGCTTGCATTGGCATTTTCTATTAATATTTATATGGCTGTAGAAATTTTATATATGATAGAAATATAAAATACAGACGTATTTGTGTGACTGTTAAATGTTTTTCCTAATTCATTTCTTGCCCTGTAACCGACTAACCTTCCTAAAAGTTCTCTGCCATTCGGATTGCATCAGTTCAAGACATTGGCTCAATACCACATTTTTTAGTGCAAGTTTCAATGGGCTGAATGCTGTCCTGTCCAGTGACACCCATGTCTTATGTGAGAATTTTTTAAAAATCTGAAGTGGAGTTGGTCTTGAAATCCCTGTGTGCAATGTAATTTCAACTGTGCCTGCGAATTTCCAACAGGAAACACTGAATAGAGACCCAAGTTAGTTGATGTCCTACCCCATCTTCTGCCAGCCCAGCAAAGATCACTGAGGCTGCCTACGACACTTCAGTGTCCCTTTGGCTGCTGTTAAACACTGTATGCACAATACCACCCCCCCAACCCCGGTATCTGCTGGGTGCATGCGCCCATCAAGTCAGTATAGCAGATAGAATTCCATGTTCTCAACTTTACTTAAGAAGTAATGAAAGAAGTACAATGAAGGGAAACTGCTTGATGTAGCATAGTGATTCCAGCACTACATATACATGGAAATTTTGACATTGCAATTGTTAAGCTGCATTGAAGATATTGCTGTGATTAAACCCATGAAAATTATGTTGATGGGGAAGGAGACAGTTGATCGATTTTAAGCTCTCATTTCAGCCTCTTAATCCTCTTAATTGTTAAGGCGAACACTGCACGGAATTTTACATCAAATATACTTTGTTTCTACAGACCAGTTGACATTGATTCAGACAGTGACATTGTCTTTGAGGATGGCGATGGAAGCAACAACAACAATCCTGTGGTGAGTAGTCAGTATTTTACTTGTGAATATTATGCATTTAGACAGCTTGGCTCAATTTGGAAGACTCTGAGTACAAAGGTTATGGATTGCAGCCATTGCACTGCTTTGATTCTGTTGTTCAGCTTTTAGTTTATTCTCTGGAATTCTCTGTGGATTATGATATTAATAGATGTTGTTCAGGAGCAACACTGAATCTGATTTCATGAGGGAACTGGATTAATAGTTTTTTGAGATCCTGAAACTTCCTGTTTTCCTGGCTGTCCATTGATATTTGGCTTTCTTTACACGGTTGTGCTAAGCGCCTTTTTCCATTGTTATTGCTTTGATGTTATCAGTCATATACAAGGTAGGAATGGAGATTCAGTCCTACAATTGGTTCAATGTCTCTGTGACCTGGTTTGAATGCCTGGACAGAGCAGCAGAAAGTCATTGCGTCCTGTTTATTGGTAGCTATGAGGAAACAGAGCAGGCATAAATGAATCATTTTTTGGAGCGATGTGCCAAAGGGATCAGTGCTGGGGCCTCAGCTTTTTACTATTTAAATGAATGACTTGGATGAATAGACTGAAGGTATGGTTGCTAAATTAGCTGATGATTAAAAGATAGATAGGAAATTAAGTTCCGAAGTGGACAAAGCATTGCTAAGGGATATTGCTAGGTTGAGTGAATTGGCACAGATCAGGCTAATGGAATAATTTGTGAGAAAATGTGAACTTTGGCAGGAGGAACAAAAGCAGAGCTCTAAGATGTAAAGGGATTTGGGTGCCAGAGCACATATATTGTGGAAAGTGAGTATGCAGGTACAGCAAGTAATTATGTAAACTATTAGGGAAATTGAATACAAATGTAGGCAGGTAATGCTTCAGTTCTACAGGTCATTAATGAGACCGTATCTGGAGTGCTATGCACAATATTTGTTACCTTACTTCCGGTTGAGAGCAATTCAAAGAAGATTTACGAGACTAATACCTGGAATGACTTCTGAGGAAAAGTTAGAAGTGCCGGAGAACTGGAGGGTGGCTAATGCTGTGCTTTTCTTTATTTATGGAAGGCTATCAGGAGAAGCTGGGAAATATAGACTGGTGAGTCTGACAACAGTGGTAGGTAAGTTGGTGGAGGGGATTCTGAGAGATAGAATTTACATGTATGTGGAGAGACAAGGACTGATAAGGGATAGTCAGCATGGCTTTGTGTGTGAGAAACCGTGTCTCTCAAACTTGATTTGAGTTTTTTGATGAAATAACCAAAAAATTTGAGGGCAGAGTGGTAGACATTGTCTACACGGACTTTAATTAAACCTTTGATGAGGTTCTGCATGGTAGACTGATTATTAAACTTAGATCTCATGGGATTCTGGGAGAGCTTGCCAATTGGGTACAAAATTGGCTTGATGATAAGAGACACAGGTTGGTGGTGGAGGAGTTTGTTTGGAATGGAGGCCTGTGACCAGCAGTATTCCATGGGGGTCGGTGCTGGGTCATAGAACATCCACTGTTATTTGTCTTTTACATAAACGATTTGGATGAGAATTTAGGAGGCTTATCATAGAAATATATCATAGAATCCCTACAATGTGGAAGCAGGCCATTCGGCCCATCAAGCCCACACTGACCCTCCAAAGAGCATCCCACCCAGACCCATCCTATCCCTGCAACCCTGCATTCCCCATGGCTAATCCACCCACCCTGCATATCCCCAGACACTACGGGAAATTTAGCATGATCAATCCACCTAACCTGCACATCTTTGGACTGTGGGAGGAAACTGGAGCACTCAGAGGAAACCCGCACAGACATGGGGAGAATGTGCAAAGTCCACACAGACACTCGCCTGAGGCATGGTTCATAAGTTTGTGGATGACATCAAAATTGGTAGTATAGTCGACAGTGAAGAATGTTATCTAGGATTACAAAGGGATCTTGATTAATTGGGCCAATGGGCTGAGGCATGTCAGATGGAGTTTAATTTGGATAAATGCGAGATATTGCATTCTGGTAAAACGAACAAGAGCAGGACTTATACAGTTAATGGTAGGGTCTTGGGTAGTGTTGTTGAACAGAGAGACCTAGGGGTCCAAGTATATAGTTCTTTGAAAGTTGCATCGCAGGTAGACAGGGTGGTTAAGAAGGCATTTAGCACACCTCTCTTCATTGCTCAGACCTTGGAGTATAGGAGTTGGAAAGTCATATTAAGGTTGTTCAGGACATCGGTGAGACTACTTTTGGAGTACCGTGTGCAGTTCTGGTCACCCGACTATAGGAGGATATTATTAAATTGGAGAGGGTTTCTGAAAAGATTTACCAGGATGTTGCTAGGACTGGTGGGTTTGAGTTATAAAGAGAAGCTGGATAGGCTGAGACTTTTTTCACTGGAGCGTTGGAGGTTGAGGGGTGATTTATAAAATCATAAGGGGCATAGATAAGGTGAGTAGCAAAGGTTTTTTCCCTAGGGTGGGGGAGTTCAAAACTAGGGGGCATATTTTTAAGCTGAGAGGAGAAAGATCTGAAAGGGATCCGAGGGGCAACGTTTTCACATAGAGGGTGTTTCATATCTGGAATGAACTACCTGAGGAAGTGGTAGATGCAGGTACAGTTACGACATTTAAAAGACCTTTGGACAGGTAAATGAATAGCAAAAGTTTGGAGGGATATAAGCCAAATGCAGCCAAGTGGGACTTGTTTATTTTGGGACACTTGATTGGCAAGTGTTTCTGTGCTGTATGTTTATGACTCTATTTAGAAGAGTAAGAAGCATCTTGATTGAATCTTTGGTGGAATTCTTTGAGGACATTACTTGCATGGTAGACACTGGGGAACCTGTGGATGTGGTGTATCTGGATTTCCAGAAGGCATTTGACAAGGTGCGACACCAAAGGCTGCTACATAAGATAGAGTTGCACGGTATTACAAGTAATGTATTGGCATGGATAGAGTATTGGTTGACTAGTAGAAAGCAAAGAGTAGGGGTTAATGGATGTTTTTCTGGTTGGCAGTCAGTGGCTAGTGGTGTGCCTCAGGGATCAGTGTTGGGACTGCAATTGTTTACAATTTACATAGATGATTTGGAGTTGGGGACTAAGTGTGGTGTGTCAAAATTTGCAGATGACACTAAGATGAGTGGTAGAACAAAGTGTGCAGAAGACACTGAAAGTCTGCAGAGGTATATAGATCGTCTCAGTGAGTGGGCAAAGGTCTGGCAGATGGAGTACGATGTTGATTAGTGTGAGGTCATCCATTTTGGTAGGAATAACAGCAGAATGGGCTATGTTTTAAAAGGTAAAAAATTGCAGCACGCTGCTGTGCAGAGGGACTTGGGTGTCCTTGTGCATGAATCGCTAAAAGTAGGATTGCAGGTGCAGCAGGTAATTATAAAGGCAAATGGAATTTTGTCTGTCATTGCTAGAGGGATGGAGTTTAAAAACAGGGAGGCTATGCTGCAGCTGTATAGGGTCCTGGTGAGGCCACACCTGGAGTACTGTGTGCAGTTTTGGTCTCCTACTTGAGAAGGGATATATTAGCACTGGAAGGGATGCAGAGGAGATTCACTCGGTTGATTCCAGAGTTGAGAGGGTTGGATTATGAGGAGAGACTGAGTAGGCTGGGATTATACTGGGATTGGAATTCAGAAGAATGAGGGGAGATCTTATAGAAATATGTAAGATTATGAAGGGACTAGATAAGGTGGAGGCAGGGAGGTTGTTTCCACTAGCAGGTGAAACTAGGACTAGGGGGCATAGCCTCAAAATAAAGGGAAGCAGATGTGGGACTGAGGTCAGGAGGAACTTCTTCACCCAAAGGGTTGTGAACCTGTGGAATTCCCTGCCCAGTGAAGCGGTTGAAGCTACCTCGCTGAATGTGTTTAAGGCAAGGCTAGATAAATTTTTGAACCGTAAAGGAATTAAGGGTTATGGTGTGCGGGCGGGTAAGTGGATCTGAGTCTCAAAAAGTTCAGCCATGATCAGCCAGCGGTCGCCTGAGGGTGAATTGAACCCGGGTCCCTGGTGCTGAGAGGCAGCAGTGCTAACCACTGAGCCACCATGCAGTCTTTGAATGTTCTTAAGGCAGAGGTAGATAGGTGATTTTTTTTGATAAAGTTGTGAAAGGTCATTTGGGGGTAGATGGGAATATGGTGTATCAGGTCATTTACAATCTAACTGTATGGCAGAGAACACATCAGAGGCCAGGCCTACTCCAGCTCATAATTCATATGTTTGCACATGCGTAAGTTACCAATGTAAATTGATGGAAGAAGTTTGAGATCCGTGGCCCTCTGTTTCCATCATGCTGTGGAAATCTGTCATAGTTAGCTTTGAATGGGAACACAGCATCATTCTGAAAATTCTTCTGGCTCATATAAGTCATAGCATTTGACTCATGTTATATCTGATACTGAAATTGTAAGATGTGAGAGTTTCAATCACTTGTTTTACTGTATGAATCTCCTGTCCAAAACAAAAAATATTGACACTTAGAATAATGTGAACAGTTTATATTCTCTCACCTGAGGAAAGATAAACTGGCATTGAGGCAGTCCAAAGAAGGTTCACTTGATTGATGACTGGTATGGAAGGATTTTCTTATGAGGCGAGGACCTGTACTTTATTGGTATTTAGAAGAATGAGAGAAAACCTTTTATTGAAACATAGCAGATTCTTAGGGAGGTTGACAAAGTAGATGTGGAGAGATTGTTTCCTCTTGTAGGGAATCTAGAATCTCAGAACAAGGGGTTGCCACTTTAAGACAGAGAGGAGGAGGGTAGAGAATCTGTGGAATTCTTTACCACAGAGGGCTTTTGAGGCTGTGTCATTAAATATATTCGGGGCTGAGATGGACAACTTTTTAATTGGTAAGGGAATCAAGTTGCATCAGGAAAGGGTAGGCAAGTGAAATTGAGGATTATCAGATGATCCATGATCTCGTTGAATAGCAGAGTAGATTTGATGGGTCAAATGGATTACTTCTGCTGGTATATCTTATGATCTAAAACTGAACAGTTGATAAAATTACAGTATTCTCTTTTAGATTTTTGAATGATTGGGGGTTAGCAGCAACTGTTGTTAAAAGCAGAATCCAGAGTAAATCATTGATTTGCCTGGGAAACGTTTGACAGACCAAGTGAGCTGATCTTAGTTGACTTCAGCCTTGCCGAAGCAGAGCAAAACTAAGGCAGCCTTTCATTTGTATTTACAGTTGAGAGTCCTCTATCTGGATGTTGATTGAGCCTGTGACTGAACTTAGCCAGGATGGCCTGCACAGTTGAATGGCCTCTTGTACTCTTTTTATTTGTTTGTGTGAAAAGAATTTCCACTTTCATGTGGGCTTCTGGCATGCTTGAGACCATATTCCAGTGTCTGATGGCCCCTTCAGATGTGAAGGGTGGACGTAGAAAAAAATATTTATGCAAGATTTATTTTGAGTCGCAGGGATTTATTTTGAGGATGTCTATGGTTATGGAGCATGTTCAACACCTGTATCCCTAAGGTTGACATGTTACCATGGCTTATTGTCTGTTGGCATTTGGATGTAGGTTAAGTACAATTCCAACCCAAAATAAGCTCTGGCACAACCACTTTTATTTATAATATAGAATTATTTATTATGGTCCAGGTTGTGCTTTTAGTGCCCATTTGGGCACCATCTTATAATGATGCTGTCTCTCTCCTTTAGGACATTCGATGCACTCTTGACTTCTCATCCTTTTCTGAGCTGGTATGTCAATGCAGTAAGTGGTGTGAGGTTTGAATGTTAGTACTGGTTGAGGCATAACTCTGCATTTAAATTCAATGCAATCTACATGATGCTGCAGTGATGTATGACTGTGTCCCAATTTGCCAGATCTCTTTGAAAAGTAGAAAAAAATTCATGAAATTCTGATCCAGAGGCGTCCTGGAGGTAGGTTGTAGGTGTGTGTCTATATTTAAGGAGAGTGATCAGGTTAAAATTTAAATTCCAAAAAAAAACAAGTGGGTTGGGGTTGCATAAGAGGTTAAAATGTTAAAAATAAATCAAAATAGGAATGCAATCCACTCAATTTTAATAGTGATGGAATGAATGACTAACTAACTAACCCACTGATTGGATGTGGTTGGTCTTTGAACTACTGTGAAGCTGTATGCTTCTGTATGAAGTGATTCTAACTTTTAACTCATTTTGACTGCATTGGAAAACTTGCAACTTATGGAGTGAATCCACAAGGAAGATATCCTTACTCCTTTGGTCTGTCTCATTCACTTCTCAATATCTACTGTTTCAGGCTATGTCCTTTATGAAACTAGTTTCCCACTTGAGAGATCTCCAGGCAATCAATCAGACAGCCTGTCCGGAGATCTCCAGGACTTTACTGCAGGAGTTCCTCAGTGTAGCTATTTTTAATCAGTCTTCTCAGAGATATAATGATTCACATCTGGAGCAGGTAAGACATTAGCCTTGGCCATCTAGAAGAACTAGGGTCGCAGGTGTCACTTTGCAACATCTCTGGATCCTCTTCACAGCTCACCCTTCCACCCAGCTTTGTTTCCTGTGAAAACTTTAAGGTATAACATTTAGTTCCTTTATCTAAATCATTTAATGTATATTGTGAATAGTTACTAAGCTTGTTATTAGGATCAGTTTCTCCCTGCCTGCTCTGTTAAATCCCTTAGAATTTTGAACACATCTATTGAGTATTTCCATAAACTCCTCTGCTCTAAAGGGTAGGGGACCTTTGGAGGGGGTGGGGTGGCTGCAGGAGGAGAGGATGGTGGGGATGGGTGAGAGAAGAGGACAGTGGGAGTTGGGTTGGAATGAAGATGTATTATTGGGTCGTGACTTTTTCCTCTCCCAGGGTGACATAAGCAAGCTGACTCAACCGAGATTTGTAAGACCAAGATTTCAGAGGCTTGACTGTTTGCTATTCTTCTTATAGTGGAGACATACTCTTAGAATTAAAAAAAAAAAAATTCCTGTGGGGTTTTCCCAAAGCTGTGGGCTTTGTTGGTAATGCCAATATATAAAGCCTGGTCACTATTACTAAATTTGTAATGTCTTTCCTGGTCTGTACAACCAAGGTGACCTGTTTTGAACCACAGGGTGATATTTTGGACTTTCTCTAGGTTTTTCAGGAAAAATACAGAAAATATGTTGCAACATCCCCTCTTTCCCTAAATTGTTTAGTTAGTAAAGGGCTTGAGCAATTGAGCCACATGAAGCAACATCACATTTGGTGATCAAGAGATCTCAAACTGGAGTAGCTGTTGAGCGAAAGCCTGTGCCTGTGACTGCAGGATGAGTACCAGCTTAAGCTCTGCTGTTTTGTCCACCAGACTGGAGTTACTCGCTACTGCTGAACAATCTTAAGCTTGTATATGAGAAATAGAGAGAGTTGGCACCTAGGAAACTATACAGATGCACGACCCACCATTTCGACAGATGATATCACTGGCAAAAAAAAATCGAACATTAATCTGTTTATTGCCGGACCCTTGGCGAGCATATGTCTTTTCCCCATTCTCGTAGCAGCTTGAGTGTAACTTGTGTTTTAGCTCGCACTACTTTAATTGCGCCATAATAATATATTTTATATTTTGTGATTATAGTATATTCTGTGATTATTTTTTAATCTACAGGACAGGGAAGCTACAAATGCAAAGAATCCGGAGGATGGCAAAATGGAGAAGGCAGAGGTCGTCATGGTACCTCAGACAGTACACTATCTGTATATTCAGGTAACACCACTACTCCAGATTGCAGAGTATTTACAATCTGTAACATACCCCAGACTTTGTACTGTTTATGTACTCTGATAATATTATGTACTCTGATAATAGGCTGTACCCTGGATCATGCACCACATGCTTATCTGGTGATGTACTGACAGTAATTTGAATAATAATTTACTGAAGTTCCACAATTCAGTGATGAAGGCTGCTTATTGTTACAATGCACCATTCCACCTACCACTTTGAAAGGAAACTGCATTTCCCTCCTGCACCATAAATCCCATTTGACACAACTGGGTATATTTTGGTGATGTATGGATTGCATGATCCTTATTAACTGGAATTATGGAGTGAAAATGGACAGTATTTATAATACTGTCATAAGTGACTGCAAATTAGATGGCCCAAATTGCTTCAGAAATTAATGACATCATGAGGATGTGGTAAGGCATTTCATGATCATTTTCCTTTTCTCTACCTACCCGTCTCTCGCTTTCGCTCTCTCGCTCTCTCTCTCTGTCTCCCCCATACACTAACTTCGCAGGCAGGTTTGGCTGTATGAAAGGTCAAATCAGGCCAGGCGAAATAGTTCTTCTATCTTGCAGACATAGCAGTTGTGAATTTCTTAAGAGATTTGGGAGAGACTTCCAGTTGTTTGCAGAATACCATTTGCATGGTATTTCCAGCGACAGTGTGGCTGAATAGGAGAAGTCCTGAGGAAATTCGCTGAGCATTTCTGCGACTATGGACAAAATATATACATTTCCTCAGGAAGGAGGGAAAAAACAGTAATCTCATAATATCATTAAATATAGTACAATGCAAGTGGACTTTTCTAAGTGTGAGTACATGCCCCTTGACGTGACTTTAGGCAGTTCCGCCCTGACAGGTGTGTATGTGTTCAAGCCGACTTGAAGTGAGATAGTCAAATTGATTGTACACTTAAAGAAAAAATCTAAATGTCAGTTTTGAGATTTCTCATCCCTTTACACTTCTTCTGCCTTTTGTCTTTTGTTTGAATACACTGTGCCTGTGTGGCAGTCTGGCTTGACACATGCACTACCCACCCAGATGAAAGTAAGACAGGAGCTCATGCCAAGATTGAGCTCAGGACCTCAATACCAATAGTGCAACAGAGCCCTTCATGTCACAAAGCCCATGTCTCTACGAAGATGAGTTAATATTTCTAGTAAGATTGTAAATGCCTTTATTGAAACTATGCAATTTCAGAACTTTACACCCACCACATTAACCCTAACTCTAACTCTAACCGTAACCCTAACCCCGAGCAATCAAACCATCTCAGAGGTTTGAATATGACTCTATGACTTTGTATTCAACCTTGTAAGGTGCAGAATGGAAAGGTAGTTCTATTCCTCCAAATGGTTCAGGTCCTCAATGAAGCAAGTAAATGATGAAATTTATATGTATTTCAGTGCATGTAAAGTAGGAATGGTACATTTGCTTTGCAATTTTAATTCAGTATTAGCCTGCTTTTAACATCCTGTCGACTTCTTCCATTTTATCGGTTGAATTTGCTTTCATTTTTTGTTGTATGATTGTTACATATATGCACATTTTAAGTCTAATTCCTTAATATACGATGGATTTTTCCACGTAAGCTACGTAGCAATTCAGCCTTTGGTTGAGAACAATCTCTTGAATAAAATAATGCCAATTATATTCTGTAACCAAAAATATTTGCAAGTTATCAAGCAAAGCCCATCTTCTAAGTTGTAGGGGAGACTTTGGCTTGCTTTGTGTTGCAGTTGAGGGATTTTGTGTGTATAATTCAATTAAATAAATGGTCTTGCGGATCACTCTGACTTGAGTTGCTGAATTTATTTGATTTACAAATTGTAGACTTAAATTTTCTTGACTGCTTTCAGATGGAATATTGTGAGAAAAGCACTTTACGAGACACAATTGACCGGGGACTGTATAGAGATATCAAACGCCTCTGGAGGCTGTTCAGGGAAATTCTTGATGGCCTAGCCTATATCCATGAACAGGTTTGTTTTTCAGGAATTATTAGGGGAACTGTGATATCCAATGTAAGTAAACTTCCAAAAGACTTGTGATAATATTCATGTTGCAGGAATCTAGCTGAAAAGTGAGAAAGGATTAGCTACTGATGCAATCAGGTCAATGTCAATAAAGTATTCCTCCCAATCCATTATATTTGACCCTATCCTTTGTATTCCTTTCTCCTTCATTTATTTATCTAACTTCCTTCTCAAATGCATATCTGCTATTCACTTCAAATGCTCCTTGTTACACATTTTGACTGCCATTGGTGGAAGAAATTTCTCCTGCAATCCATATTGGATGCCCACAAGTGGATTTATTTTTCCATGTCTAGTCTACAAAACCAGTTCATCATCTTAATGACCTCTATCAGGTCACCCCGATCATGTTATTTTCTTAAAAAAAACCCTCAGCATGTTCAGTCATTCATGTATTCTTTATTTCTAGTGTAATCTTGACAATCTTTTTTTGCAGCTTCTCCAGTCCTTGTTATAAAGTGGAGACCACAATTGTACTTGGTACTCTAGTATAGTCTAACCAACATTTGATACAAGTTTAACATTAATTTTTTACTTTAGAGAAAGGAATCCCAGTGATGTGTGTTTGCCTTTTTGTGGACTTATTAACTTGCATTACTGTGTTTAATGACCTGTGTGTCTTCATTCTTCAATTATTTTGCTGCTCAGATCTTTTCAGACCCTTATTCTTAATGCAAAATTACACTACCTCATACTAAAATCCATTGGAATGCATAGCCATTCTGCAGTTTTATTAATTTCTTCCTGTTTCTTATGTTCTACCTCAGCGTTAAATATACCCACCCAATTTGATGTCATCTGCAGCTTTAGTAATTGTACTTTTGATTCGCAAATCTAAGTAATCATTAATGTAAATTGTGAACTATGTTTTAACACCCATCCGTGTGAAACACAGTCTTTTACCTTTTGCTAGGATGAATAGCTACCCTTATTCTCTACACTATTTTTCTCATTTATAGCTTGTTGTTTATATCCTATTTTCATGGGCTCTGATTTTATTCATGAGTTCTACCATATGGCACTTTACTGAAAGTCTTCTGAAAGTTCGAATATTTTACATCTATAATATTACATTTGGCTATCTTTATTACTTTAAATAATTCAGAAAGGTTGGCCAAACAGCTTCTAGATGTTTCTCTGTTATATCTTTGAATAAAGATTTCATTATCTTTGCTGCCCACTGACATTAAGCTAACTGGTCTAGTACTGATGTAAGCTCTGACTTGAATGATTTAATTCTACTTCTCTTCCAATGAAACATTAAACGTCTGCTGCATATTTCCAGCATTTTTAGTTTTTGTGAGAGTCCCCTGAACTTTATCCAACTCTTTTGCTTAAATATAACTAACTGTCTGCTGGTCCTCTGGCTCAATTTTCCTTTTCTGAATTTTAAAAATAAATTTATAGTGTTTCTGTTAACCATTTTCTAACTTATTTTAAGATGTGTTGGTGTAGCCCTGTTGAACTATTGATTTTCACTGCTCTGTTTTCTTTGTTGATTATATTCTCCTTTTACTATCTTAAATAATGTCTTCTTTGATTCTTTCTTCTTATGCTTTGATAATCTCCCTGAACATAGCAATATTTCTGCCATTTTTATGTGAAGTTTATCTTCTGGCTCTAACCCTATTCCTGATTTTTTTTTTTCTTTTCTGTCTGCAGAATACTGCAATGTTCCTCATCTTCCTATACGTGTTCCCATTTGCCTTGATTTAATTCCATAATTTACCTCCACTTCCTTAATTCTTCAAACAAAAAATTCCTAACCTTTCTAAAATTTATATTTCCTTTTTGTCACTGTCCTTGTCTCCGCAATTCAGGGTTGTGGGAAAGGGTCGAATTGGAGGAATTCAGAAATCTCTAAGATTGTAGGGTTGGAGGCAGTTGCAGAAGTAGGAAGGGACAAGGTCAAGGAGGGAGTTGAAAACTAGCATGAGAATTTTAAAATCTAGACACTGCTTAACTGGAGCCAGAAGGTTAGAGATCACAGAGATGATGGATGAATGAAACTTAATGTGAGCTAGTATACAGGCATTGTTAGAGCTTGAAAGAGCTCAAGCTCACAGCGAGTGTGGGATGGGAGGATGACCAGATAACACTAAAACAGTTCTGATCGTAACTCATTGACCAGAGATATTAACTCTGTTTTTGTACACTCAGACCTGCTGAGTATTTCTAGCATATTCTGTTTTTATTTCAAAATTTTCAACATTTGGAGTATTTTGCACATTGGATTAGTTGGGTTTGAAGTTGACATGATGTGGCTGATGACAGTTAGATGAGCTGAGATTAGGATGGGTGTGGGCAATGTCCTAGAGCTGGATATGAGGCAAACTTGGTGATAGATGGGACACTATGTTGGAAGCTCACCTGAGGGTCATAAAGGATGCCAAGGTTGCAAACGGTCTTGTCCTGCATCAGACAGTGAACAAACTGAGAGTTCGAGTATGGTCAAGTCAAGAACAGTTTACTTAGGCCAAGAAGGCATCGTTTACCATAGTTACAGTCAGATCAGATGTTATTTGTAACTTTGGTTAGAGCAGTTTCATTGCTGTGCTAGGAGAAAAGACTTGATTGAGGTTTTCAAACAGGGGAAGGATAGACATAGATTTGGTATGTTTGTGGACTTTAGAGAGAAATAAGAGGTTGGATGTGAGATGGTAGATTGCAAAGACAGGAGTCTCAAAAATTATTTTTTGCAGGCGGATGATGATGCAGATTTGAAAGGAAGAGGAGAATGCCTTTGGATAGTAAACTTAAAACAAAATCAGCTAACATGAGGGCTGGGAAGGGAACTGAATGATCAACAGTTTTGTAGGAATAGGTTGAATAGTTGAGGTTGGACGAAACTAAAAATAGGTGAAGTTGAAAGCTAAAACTTTGGGAGAGAATGTTATTGGAACTTGATGGACCAGGGGAATAAATTGTATGAATGAAAGATATTTCCATGAGCCCCTTACACTTGTGTTGGAGGTGAGGGTGGACAGGACAGAGAAGAGGGATTGAATAAAATGGTTTACAGTGAGGAAAAGAGGCTGCGGTTAATATTACATTCTGTGATCCTGGAACAACGAACAATTTTGGGACAGCAGGACCCTATGTTACATTATGTGACAAGCCAGATTTGGTGATGAAAATATTCAAACCCTGGAATTTAGAGGGTGGTGATGGGAAAGAAAGGGTGAGAGAATATACTGGTTAAGAAAAAACAAAATATGAAATTGTAAAGGTTACATCTTTAATGGGTGAGAGGGAAAGGAAAAGGTGAAATCAGACTTTCTTTCCCTTAATCCAGTTTGATTTTTGACTTGGGAGCGAGGAGTTACATGTTCCAGTTCTTGCTCATGAATCTCTGAATTTACTGTGTCCTGACCAGCTGTTCTGTACCTTTTGTCATTTCAGGGCATGATTCATCGGGATCTGAAACCTGTTAATATATTTTTGGATTCCAATGATCACGTGAAAATCGGAGATTTCGGCTTAGCCACAGATCACCTTGCTAATACGGTAAGAAGTGATTAGAAAAGGAATTAAACATTATGTGTCTTGCTTGGATAGACTTAAGATGGAAGCACTTTTTGTATACGCTACTTTGTGTGTTGGAGTTATGTCGGTCTTTGGGAATGATTATTGTTTGCTCTGTGTACTTTTTGGGGCAATGTGCTTATATGGCGTGCACACACAGTATTTATACTTTATAATGAAGGAATTCTTTTTCAGTTTTAAAAGATTCAAGTTCAGGACATTTAGTAGACTGAAGTTTCAAAATTAATTTATAATCCTTTGCCAAATACCTGACAATTGCCTTTATTCATCTGGTAGACTTGAAGCAGGTTTCATTGTCTGTGTGTTGTCAGATTATAAAGTGCCTCAACAGTTGGGAGGAATCAGCTTCCATCTCAGCTGCCAGTTCTAGGAGCTTGATGACGAGGTTAGCTAAGAGATCCCTCCGATTCCAGACTCTGATAATGTTCTTCCACTTACTGAACACAACACAAGTGAGGTACATGGATTCTGTTTAAATAAACCCACAGAATCTTCAAGTAAGCTAAACGAAGATATACAATAAAGAATGATGTCAGTGTGGAAAACCTATGGTTATGTGACAGCATCTGGGTATTGACTCATTTGCATGTTGATCTCTTAAATAGGCATGACTTCAAAGGTCATACCACAACACAAAACACTGGAAAATAATGTTTAGTTAGTGGAAGCTGCCATTGGCCAAATGAACTTGTTCCTTTCTGACTGATCAAGCTCCTGTAACCAGTTTTCTCAATAGTCTCCTCCTAATCCCCACTTTCTAGAAACTTTACTTAATTTTAGAGGATGCTTATGTTATCCATTTTGTTATCTTTCTCAGGAATTTTATTACTCATCTTTTATGTCTTTAGTGTAAAGATTCTGACTTACTTCCCTTCTTCCCGATTTTTCTAACCTTTTAAAACTTGAGTTTTTGCGAGGTGCCTCAGACATATTTCATTCATTACCAATCAGTACATATGAACACATATGGCCCTTCAAACCTGCTCAGCCATTCAATAAAATCCAATCTGATTTTAACCTCAACTTTACATTCCTGCATATTCCCGATGATCTGTCATCCCCCCATGGTAATCAAGAATCTTAGCTTATTTGAAAGTGGAAAAGAGAGCAGAATGCCTAAACTTGTATTCCTGTGATTTTTAGGAGGTGCTGACAATGATAAACAGATTTGTTAAAGTTGTTGTGGAGAACCTATCTCCTCTAGTGGTGGGAATCCAGTTCAAGGAGCCAATCTTAGAGTTTGACTATTCAGAAGCAAAAGCAGGAAGCACTTCGTCACATAAATGGTAATGAAAATCCGGATCAGAATCCCCAAAAAGTTATGGATGCTGGTTGAATTAGAACTTTCAAGACTACGATGCACAATTTTTACAAAGAACTGCGAATGCTGGAAATCATTTCTCTTCTCTTCCACAGACAAACTTTGTTGAGTTTCTGCAGCAACTTTTTTTTTGTTAGATACAGGTATCAAAAGTCAAAAATTATCTCGTAGTATGGGATGTTGATTTGTGGCCACAACTAGATAAGCTGGGATCTCACTTAGTGCTGGAGCAAATGACCTACTCCTGCTTATAATATGTATGTTTGCACTATACTTTATTTGCTTATTTTCTTCCTAGTACGCCTGTCTTCAGAAACCACAGCACGATTCTTGGTTTTAAAATATTCTTTCCCACAGGCAGGTGACAGACAGGAAACAGAAGCCAGTGGACCCATTCATTTTATCAAATCTGACCCAGCAGGTGAGGCTGTTTCTCGAAACACCAAATCAGGGTATTACTGTGTGGCATGGAGGTTGGGTTAGAATGGTTTATGTTCCAGCTACTACATAATCAATTATTTTAGGGATAGGAACCAGGTAGACCATGGAAAGGTCTAATTAATCTATGATTTGGCTAACAAGAGATTTTAATCCAATTGAACTAGGTTGGGTGGGCAGTATTTGACCCCCATTGGTCAACCAGTCCTCCAAGATAATGCTAATTTTAGTATTTTATCACTAAGTTCTGTTCATGTTGACATTTTGAATGTGTCACTTATCTATTAAGTTGCTCCCTCAATTTTTCCATTTGCCTGAGATAATTTTTACAGTGTTTGTTTGACTGAGTTGGAAGTATTTCTGCGTCCTTGCATCTTGTGAATTCAAGTTGTATTCCAAGACATGGGTGCATAATCTAAACGTAACCTTTTTCAAAATAAAGTATCATATCTTCACCGTTCTTGGTAACCTTGCTAAATATCTAGAATTAAGAGTCTAATAGCGACCATGAAACCAGTGTCTATTATCAGGAAAAACACATCTGGTTCACTGATGTCCTTTAGGAAAAGAAACTACTATCCTTACCCAGTCTGACCAATGTTTGACTCCAGGCCCACAGAAATGTGGTGACTCTTAACTGCCCTCTGGTCAATTAGGAATGGGCAAGAAATGCTGGCCTAGCCAGTGATGCCCACATCTCGTGAATAAATAAAATGATGTTGGGTAATTCTGAAAACCTAATGTGGAAATGAAGAGGTATTTTACTGTCAGAATTGTTGCTCTTTGGGTGAGGTGTCAAACCAAGTGGCTGGGTGTTCTGGTGGATCACCGCTGCTTGAAAAGGAAGATTTCCTCTGGTGTCAATAATTACTCAGCCAATATCATCAACTAAAGTACAGGAAATTTTAAACTTTATAGGCTTTCACACAATAAAACATTCCAAATTTCTTCACGATAGGAGAAAAGACGGAATCCAAAAGGCCCAAATCATTCATTCAATCTCTGAATCTTAGCTTCAGAGGCTACAGTTCTTGGGATCATTATGAATCACTCAAGGTTACAGCTCAGTTTTTGTTTCGGTTACAGGGAATCTGACTGGAATGGTTGGCACTGCTTTGTACGTGAGCCCTGAAGTACAGGGTAACACAAAAGCCTCCTATAATCAGGTAAAATGTTGTGATTTTTTTTATCATGAACAAAAACACCAAGTGTCAGAATAATTTTTGGCACTGGTCAGCTGCATGCCTCCTTATGAATCACTCATTCTATAAGTATCAGATCTGTAGTGTATCTCTATTTATACCATATAATCCTGAAGTGGAAATGCCTGCAAGCCAGGAGGCCAGGTTCAAATCCCACTTGTTCCTGTGTATCATTACAGCTCTGAACGAGTTGATTAGAAAATATACATAATTCTGAGGTATACAGTTTTACAATCATTTTGCTATTGTTCCTGTCCTGATGAGGTTAGTTTGATATAACTGCTTGAATTGCTGCTGAGTTAAGTGTCACTGTCGCTGGAAATGGTTCCTACAAATGTTCACGGTGGGAAATCCCAAACCACCAATGTTCGATGAGTGGTGAAATTTCACTTCTTTAACTGTGTTTTGCAACTGTCCATTTTGCTGTCAAGTTGTTTCCAGCTGAGTTAGAGGCTGATGAGATTTTTTTTTTTTAAAAGTTGCATTACAGCACATCTAGCCACAAGTTTATTTAAGCCTGTCCTAAACTTATTGACTCATACTTCATAGAACCATTCATTTTCAAAGAAAATCTGTGAATAAATGTTAAGATTTGCACTGTGTAGTAGATAGTGATGATAATTCCCTGCCTATGTCACTGCTTTATGTCCGTGTTTGTTACTTTTGAAACTATAGCTTATTTACTACCATTTGTTCCAGAAAGTGGATCTGTTCAGTTTGGGAATTATTTTCTTTGAGATGTCGTATCGTCCCATGGACACAACGTCTGAAAGGATATCTGTTCTCAGCAAACTACGAATGGTAGGTGTTGGCATATTGACCCTTAATGGAAATGTATTGGAATCCAAATCAAAATTTGAAGCAAAAACATCATTGTAGAGTTTAGGGCATGGGCCAGTCATGAACATTGGGACCAAGTGTTGGGAGTATTTGAATGTGAAAGTAAAAAAAGCAGCACAGTCTGATCAAATGTGCACGTAGGACTGATTGGAATGTCTATTTGTGGTGAGTAGTGACAACGTGAGGGAGCCTTGCACTGTTCTCTCACGTCATGGCAGTTCAAAATAACCTTGTGTACACGTTTGTCGTATTCTGAGGATTGCATTGGTGCGCCTGGGGATTTGTGGTAAATACCACGTGCCTTATGGAGGAACATTGCTCATTTTTTGGTTTATAGATGGAATTGTCTAATTGAGTTATGTTTTCCTCTTTCAGCCAACAATTGAGTTTCCTGAAGATTTTGATGAAGAAAGATGTTCAAAACAGGTACAGTGTCTGGCTTCTGCAGTTACATGCTCTATCATGACCTGGAGAGCGTCTCCGGCATGTAGATTGTAGAGCAGACAATTTTTGTTTCCAGTAATGAGAGACGAGTTTTTCTGAAGCAGAAATGAACCATTTATCAGCAAACTACTCCAACTCTTTTTGTTGTGCCACTCAAGACAATTTTCTAGAATCAGCAAAGGGCTAGGGTAGGATGCTTTTCAACCTGTTGTGCTCTGACATCCTGAAAGGGAAGTTTTCAGCAATGTGCAGTGTCACATTCTAAAATCATGACAAAAGTTTGGAGATATGGAGTCAAATGACAAGAATTTGGGTAGAAATTTGGCATGAAAATTAAGTTGAGAGTGAAAATAAAAGGTAGTTATTCAGATTGGAGGCAGGGTGAAAACTGTGTCCTACAATTACTTGCTGGGACCATTGTTATTGACAATTTGCATTGGTGATTTGGGAGTAGGAACAAGTAACTCATTACCAACAGTTTCATACAATACAAACTGGGGTACACAGCTTATGTTGAGCTAGCCATCCATGACCTCAGCCATCTGTACCTTTTGTAGTCTGCTTCAGTGATATCCAAGATATCATCTAATTTGGCAATGAATTTAATTGTTCCACCATTGCTTTCAGTGGCCTAGTTGCTAAACTCAGCAGTTCCTCCCTATAGTTCCCAGTGTCGTACCTCACTTATCTCCTTTAGGACATTCCTTAAAACTTGCCTCTTTGAGCAGTTTGGTTATTTGACCTAATATATCCTTTTGTAGTTCTGTGTCATATTTGGTTTTATGGTGCTGGTGTGAAATTCCTTGCCTCTTTGTTGACATTATCTTCGATGACTTAGGGGTATTATCACTAGACTATTAATTCAGAGATCCACTGATGATCTGAGGACCTGGGTTTGAATCCTGCCGTGTTAGATAATGGAATTTGAATTTAATTAAAAATCTGGAATTGAATCTTAATAATGACTATGAAACTGCTGTCAATTATCAGGAAAAACCTATCTCGTTCATGATTGTCCTTTAGGGAAGGAAACTGCAATCCTTATATGGTCTGGTCTACATATGATTCCAGAGCCACAGCAATGTGGTTGACTCTGGACTGCTGTCTGGGCAATTAGGGATGGGCAAGAAATGCTGGCCTAGCCAGCGACACCCACATCCTGTGAACGAATAAAAAAAAAATGTTAATGTTGAGGAAGAATGCAAAAAAACATAAGATACTGGAACATTTTCAGCTTGGGCAGTTAACAAAGTAACTTGAATGTACATAAATATGAACTGACGCTAAGTCTACATCTTAGAAAATAAAGAAAAACTAATCATCTAATGAGGCTAAAAAGCAAAGAATGATAGTGATCTAAAAGGGGTCTGTAAAATTATCAATGTCTTGGAGAAGTTAGATGTGGAGAAACATTTCCACTTGGAAACTTTGTAATCAAAGTCCATATTGACAAAGTAGTTGCTAATAAATCTAATAGGGAAATAATGAGGCATTTCTTACTCAGTGGTTAGAACATGGAACTTGCTACCAAACTGCATTTTTAATCCTTTCACAGGATGTGGATTAGCCACCATTTGTTGCTCATCCATAATTGCTCTTCAGAAGGTGGTCTTGAGTGGAGTTCTTGAACCACTTTTAACCAGAAATGGTGATGTTCCAAGTCAGTAGACAGTGTCTCTTGGTGAGGGAAATTGCAGGTGGTGGCATTCCGATGCTTCTGCTGCTCATGTCTGCCTGGGTTGTAAATCAAGAGTTTGGAAGATGCTGTTGAAAGAGCTTGATGAGTTGCTGTGGTGCATCAGATAATTAGAGTACACTGCTGCAACTCTGATGGCTATGTCAATACAAGTCTTTGCTGCTTGATTTGAGTTACTGACTTGCAGTACAAAGTACAATTTATGCATTAGTTGTTCAGAGGTTTAATTATGGACCCCATTTGGATAGAATCATAGAATCCTGACAGTGTGGGAACAGGCCATTCGGCCCATCAAGACCGTACCTACCCTCCAAAGAGCATCCCACCCAGACTCTCACCCTCTCCACCCCCCCACCTTATCCTGTAACCCTGCACTTCCATGGTCAGTCCACCTAGATTGCGCATCCCTAGACGCTACGTGTAATTTAGCATGGCCAATCCACTTAACCTGCACATCTTTGGATTGTGTGAGGGCAGTAGAGCACCCAGAGGAAATCCACGCAGACACAGGGAGAATGTGCTAACTCTGCACACAGTTGCCCGAGGGTGAAATTGAACCCGGGTCCCTGGTGTGGAGAGGCAACCATATTGCATTCCATCTTGGAATCATACATTGAGGAATATATATTCACTTTTGAGAGGATTATTGTCAGAATATCATCTTCAAAAATTAATTTATGAGGGCAAATTAAGAAAGGAGCAGAAGTCATGTTGCTGCTATTCAATATTGTGGTTAAGTTTATATCTTCCTTGACCCTCTTTTTCCCACATTCATCTCATAATCATAGTCTGTGTATCCACAGCATTCTCAGTTAAAGAATTCCAAAGATTTGCAAACTACTGAGTGAAGAAACTTTTCCTTGTTTCAGTCCTAAATGACCAACCCCCTAGCCTGTTGAATGAGAGGATGAATAGCCTAATCCAGCTCCTATCCACATCTATCCGTTCCCATGTGGAGGTAGGTAAGTTATGAAAGATTATTCGATTCGCTGTTAATGTTTTGTTGTTGCTGTTCCCTTTAAAGAGATTGATAGTCGGCTGGCTGTTAAATCATGACCCAGCAAAACGTCCCACCGCAGTAGAGTTGCTGAAAAGCAAGCATCTCCCCCCACCCCAGATGGAGGAATCGGAACTCCATGAAATGCTGCACCACGCACTGGCGAATACCAGTAGCAAAGTTTACCGGACACTGGTCACCCAAATCTTCTCCCAGCACATCACCCCTGCCATGGATTTCACCTATGATATTGATGTTCACAAGGTAGGAAACTGATACTGCATCATTATCACTGCACTTGGTGAATCTTTTGGGAATAGAATTAAACTTAACCTCAAAGCAAAATAGTGCAGGTGCAGCAAAACTGAAATGGAACCCAAAATACAGTGGAAGTCTGCCAGCATCTCTAGAGAGGGTACCAGAGTTGCCATTTCCGATCAATGATCTTTATACAGAGCTCACCTTGTCTTGATTTGGCTTTATTCAGATACAGTGATGTGCTGCCAAACTGATATAAAACGGTAATAATGTACTCACAGCCAGGAGTTTGTCAGCGGGTTTGAAGTTAACATAACAAGAAAAATAAATAATCATCTTTTGCATCCTGAGAGGCTGCTGCCTTGTTATGTATTTATAACCCATGTCTTTTCTAATGTATATTATTCATCTGTAATGTTAAGAAGTACAGTACAATAATGAAGCCAATATAAGTCAGCATTAGAACTCCACCAGAGACCTGCCAACAGCAGAAACAAAACTCCATTTCTATTAGCCTTACCCAACTGTTATTTTATACTGTGTGTGCAGCACAAATCATTGGCTCCATTATGCAGTTTCCTGATTGACATTGGTGATTTATCCCAGGGAAATTGTTTTGTTGAAAATCACACCTGCTCATATTTCAGATGGGCGGAGTAGGGGAGATGTGGATGTGGATGTGGATGTGGAGATTCCAAGATTGCCTGTTGGCTCCCAACTGATACAACTGCTTTCAGGTCACCTGCTGAAACTAATGTCTCTACTCCAATTTACCTATTCTTTACTGTCTATGGGGCAACAACTTCAACACAATCTTCTTAGTTTCTTTACCTTGCGGTCCTCTTTAAAATCTTATGCCACTGTTTAAAGGCAAACCTTAAGCATCCCACTTTCCTTTATTTACAGTGTGTCTTCATGAACCTGCCTTTCCTGGCCCTGTACTGTTAAATAGGGTATAAAGATCTTGGTCATCTATTTTAAATGAAGTGTTGGCACATTTCCCGCCCTCAGTCTTTTTTTTGTAAATGTTTTCCTCTTGCAGGATTTTTGAAAGGCTAAAACTGGAGCATCAACCCTTCCTCCACACTGCATCGTGGGCGTGTCTCAAGGTGGGGGTGAGGGGATCAATTTACAAACCATCGTATTCTGCTTTTCTACCATTAGAAATGTCATGGGGTGTTCACTTGTGTGCATTGCGCTGATATTCTGACCAGCTGCTGGTAGCACTTTAGAAAAAGTGACCAAATGTCAGAAACTATACTCTGCAAAGTTAACCTCCTTTTCTGCTGGGATGTTAGCTATGGTTATTCTGAAAGGTTCATGCCTGGTGCGGTCAGATTATAATTCATGAATTTAAAATAATACTGAAATGTTTTTCTTTCTTCAGGGCAGTTTTTCAACGCACCATGCCATGCTCCGGCACTTTGTACATGAGACAGTATGTCGTGTATTCAAAAGGCATGGTGAGTATGCTACATAGCGACTAGCTAACCTATCTACTGATTCTATCAAGTGCTTATTATGTGTGCACTCTGTAGCCAATTTGAATTATTTTAATGTTGAGTTTTCAAGTACAGTGTATAGTTCAGGGTCATCATTGTAAAAAGCATTTGAAGCACTGGAGAAGACGAGGAGAAAATTGACATGGGTGATATCAGAAATGTGTGGGTGTATATATCAGAAAAGGATGATCAGACTCTTGTTAGAGGTCTCTAAGACTGTGTATTTACCAAACTGATCTCCAGTATGACCCCATTTTAACAGTATCGTAGATTATTATCCAATAAATATGAAAATCTGTGTTTTAAGAATGTTATCCACTCCAAATCTTCTTAATACCCTGGTAACTGAAGACTTGGTAAAGTTTGGAACTCGTGCTTTAAAATAATGAAAAGTTTTAAGCAAGTGGATACAGAAGAAATATTTGCACTTGTGGAGAAGAGAAGACTAGAGTCCATTAGAACAAGATAATCATTTAAAAAATCTAATCAGGAATTCAGAAAGGATGTTGTATCCAAAGATTAGTGAGAATGTGGAACCTGCTATCACTAGCAGCTGTTGAAGCATGTGGGAAATGAGTATGAAAGGTAAAATTTGAAACTATTTTAATTTAGTTAGACTTGTCTGGTGTACTGTGCTCAATCTTTCACTGCATTTAAGGAGGGAAATTGAAGCCTAAGAGCGGGTGCAGAAACAATTATTGGACTGATAGTAAGGAAGAAGGACTTCATTTATATGGAGAGATTGGAGAAGCTGGGCTTGTTTCCTAGAAGGAAAGGTTGTGAGGAGATTTGATAGTAAAATTCAAAATCATGATAGTTAGATACAGTAAATGAAAAGAAGCAGTTTCCAGTGGGAAGAAGGTCTCAGATTGAAGTTGATTGGCAAAAGAAGCAGGGGCAACATTGTGAAACCTATTAAATACACAGCAAGTTATTGTGATTTGGAAAACACTGCCTGTACGTGTATGGAGGCAGATGCAATGCTAAGTTTAAAAAGAGAATTCTATAGGTCAGTGAAGGAAAATCATTTGCAAAGCTGGGGAATAAGAGTAGGATTGTACAATTAATTAATTTTTCCAAAGAGGTTTCAAACAGGCACAGTAGGTCAAAATGATGACCTTTGGTGTTCCATGATCTATGATGCCATATGTTGAGTTAGCCAATACCTGAGATAATTGATCTAATACCTTTCATCATCTAACCCACTGGATAAATGTTTTACTTTACTGAAATGCTTGTTTTTCCAGTATCTAAATATTTCTCTAACTGATTGGAGGTGCAAAGCTTTAGCTGACAGCTTAAGTTTGTAATCTTTTATAGGAGCTACCTGGTTGCACACACCGCTATTTATGCCAAAGAACAAAAAGTTGTATGAGGGTAGTGAGGGAGCCTATTTCATGGATCATAGTGGCATGCTGGTCATGCTTCCGCACGACCTCCGGGTAAGTTATGGAATGTGCATCGATGATATTGCTCCCCCTGCATGAATGCCTGAGTTTACCTTTAACTGAGGCTGCTGAACAGCATTATTTCTCCATATTTGTAGAGTCCTCCTAAGTTGGTAATGATTCGCCCTGTTCTCAGTGAAGTAAATAAAATTGTATTCGTAGATCCTTTCCAGAGCTGTTCACTACATTATTTTACTTATTAAAGATTACATGCTTTTTTAAATTTTAAAAACTCTGAAATAATGTTTCCTTTAAAAATGAATAAAAAGTAGAAATTTTAAAAACTTATTCTGTAATTCGGCTACTCCAAAATATTGCGTATATGTTTCTTTTTTTATTGTTTTAGGTGCCGTTTGCAAGGTTTGTGGCAAGAAACAACATCACTAGTTTAAAAAGGTGAGTTGAAACAATCACCAGCTGCTTTTATGGCTCAGTTGGTAAGACTATTGTCCACCTGATATGTGAAGGCCTTATTAGTTCCACAGTTTGTGCTGAGCTAACTGATCTCAGTCACGGTGATACACTTGGCCTCTGTATCTGTGGACTAAAGACCTGTACAGAGGTGCCACATGACGATACAGTAGTTGAGTGGCTACTTCTGGCTATTTGGCTTTTCCTCTCACTCACTGCCAGTTGGAATATAGTCTGATGCAAGGCACGGTCTCTCTAATCTGAGTGAGAAGTAACCCCACGCTTCCACATATTGATTCCATGATGGTGTTCCAACGGCATATACCACATGATGCTTGGGGTTTGTGGGGCCACAGTGAGGAAAGAGTGGGCAGCAGGTCAGCTCAAGACATTGTTGTCACATTCTGGATATGCCCTCAATTCAGCTGACATGGTTTAATACAGCCCGGTTCACAATAGACATGAAGCATGACTAAATACTTTGGGTTGACACAAACTGGTGTTAAATTAGGAATCTTGGAGGCCATGGCTATAACAGGAAGCTGTAACCTTTGGTGCAGTGGAATGCTGTTCTGAGATTGAAGTAAGGCAAATTGATAGGATAGGGCATCAGAGATTTGCTAAATCTGACCATGTGTGTTTATGGACCAGTGGAGATGGAAATTTCCTTTATTTCACCTGTTCTGAGCTGGGTATGGTTGTTGTATTTAGTGTACAGGATTGTTTTGTATTTAAGCACTAGTATTTGGTAGAGTTTTTCTTTGTAACTAACATATTTGGTCTCTTGCATCTTGTATATGATGGGAAAGCTTAGAAGGAGGTTTAGTCATTTTTAGTATTAACACTCAAAGAGTGACACTGCATTTTTGTTAAAAACCTGTCCTGACTTCCTTAAAACCTTCTTTATTATTTCCTCTATCCTCACATGTAATAACAGTTACAAGGACCTCGCAAATTCTTTGTCATCAAGATTGAGATCAGCTTGCCTCCCTTTCCTTTGATAATCAAGCTGAACTTCCTCTCCTCTGTCTCCACGCGTATCTCTGATCTCACCTTGTACATGAGACCCAGCAATTTTGACTGTATTTCTCCTATGTTCCTTACCACCCAACCTGTCTTCCTGGCTCCCATTAGAACACTGGAAACTCAAAGGATTACTGCATTATTTGCTACTTTTGTTAGTTCATAAGACAGATTAACCAACCAGGGTCTTGGGTTAAAACCTACACTGTCACGAAGACAACTTATTTCCACTTTGGTGTCACTTGACTTTGTCCCAACTTCAAATCTTCTGCCACTGAAATCTTCTTTTGTGGTTTTGTTGCCTCTAGACTTGACATTTCTAATGCATTCCTGGCCAACTTCCCACTTTCTACCTTCTGTAAACTTGGGGTCATCCAAAATCTCTGTTGCCTGTTATTGGACAAAAACCTGTCTATCGTTATTGTGATATGTACTAGCTCAATATTTAAAATTGTCACCTTTGATTTCCAATCTCTCCATGTCTTTGTCTCCACCTCTAAACTCCTGCAACACTTGAACTCTTCGGGATATCAGCATTTGTCTAATTCCAGCCTCTTCAGCATCCCCACAATTCACCACTACGCTACAGTAAGCTATGGCTTCAATTGCCTGGGCCCTGAGCTCTGGAATTCCTCCCTGGACATTCCATCTCTCTACCTTTTTTCCTTTAACGTTCCTATTAAAACCTTTGCAAAGCTCTTAGTCATCTGTCATATGTGACTTTTTAGTTAAAAGGCCTATGCGAAACACCTCGGGACATTTTATTTTATTAAATGTCATTATAAATATAAGTTGTTGTTGATTCCATTTCTTTGGTCACAAGGTACTGTATTGAACGGGTATTCAGACCCCGAAAGCTGGACCGCAGTCATCCTCGAGAGCTCTTGGAATGTGCATTTGACATTGTCACACCAATCACAAACAACCTACTGCCAGACGCAGAGGTGATCTACACAGTTTTCGAAATTATTCAGGAATTTCCTGTACTACAGGTGGGGAATTAGTCCATTTGATGTTAACTGATTTCATCCAATATAGTACATTTTTGTCCTTAGGAGTGAAGATTTTGCAGTTTATAGTCACATCTACTATTCATGACATCTTTCAATTTATCCTTACACCTTAATTGCCCAGATTCAAGGTAAATTAGCAATTTTGTTTACTGGAAATAAAAGAGAATGTCCTGTGATCTCTAACATCAACCGTATTTACTTCCTAAACAAAAAAAGAAGATTGATTATTTCTCTTCCATGCTGTTTTTGGGATATTGCTATGTACACTTTCCGGCTGTATTTTCCTACAACACAACTTCTTTGGCTGTTGGAGCACTTTGGTACGTGGTAATGTGAATAGCACAGTGTTAATGCAACGTAATTCTTTTTTGTCATCTTCCTAGTTTCACCTGTTTGAGTAGAGAAAGATGCGCGCTAATGCTGATCTCTCTGATGTGCAGTTGTTCTGAAATGGGCAGTCTTTAGCAGAGTATGACTCAGATTTTTAACATGGCTAAGGCAGGGACTAGTTTCAAATGTATATAGTTAGCAACTGAGAAGCTGAATTGATCTCGAGCTTTTAATAGGCTATGAATAATTAAGCAGCACTAATTCTTTGGTAACGTGGTGCTTCATAACGTGGAAGTATAGGATTAGAACTGAACAAATCTTGGCTAGATCAGGGAGAATTATCCACTGGACACTGTAACTGTTCTTGCAGTGCTCTTGTTTACAACCGATCAGTCGTTGCTCGTGAAAAGGACAGAAAACTGTGAGCAGCTGTGCCAATGCTTTGCTTTAGTTAGAGTCAGTGCTCTTAAATGGGTTCGAGAACTGCTTTTGACTTGAGGCATCCATTGCTTTAAACTAAGCCAATCTCCCATCAATGATATTATAGGAATATATACGAATGAATAAAAATGACAGCCTGCTTTTCCAATATAAAAACCGTGAAACACTTTAATGGCAACATACCCCCAATTTAATTTTCTTTCTCCTTGAAAATGAGAAGATTGTACTGTGTTGTCAATTCTAATTTTGGTCATGCAGCCCTTGTGTGATTATTGCACTTGTTTTCTAGGAGCTCAACTATAGCATCTATCTGAACCACACCAGCCTGTTGAAGGCAGTCCTATTGTACTGTGGGATGCCAGAAGACAAATTCCAGCCAGTATGTAACATCCTATGTGATTCTATGGTGAGTTCTGTGGAGCTGCTCAATTTGTTTCTGTTGTTGAAACAGCAAACCAAGAAGGATGCCTACCAAAACTGTTCTATTGCACATCCTCTGTGTTTTAACTGTGAGCCTATGTTGGCAACCTCTGCAATATGTGCAACCAAAAGACATTCAGGAAGATTTTCTTTTGTAGGCCCGAAACGTCAGCCTCTCTGCTCCTATGATGCTGCTTGGCCTGCTGTGTTCATCCAGCCCTGCACCTTGTTGTCTCGGATTCTCCAGCATCTGCAGTTCCTACTATCTCAGGAAGATTTAACTGCTTTTGGTTTCCTTTTCTTACCACGTGAACTTTGTACTTATTAAGAAAATAGATAGGGAGTTAGTACCATAAGGTTCAGCTCAACAGCATAATGCTGGTCAGAATGCTTACTACTTATTAGATTAAGCATTATTCCATTGCTTAGGGAATTTGGGGAGTGAGGAAATTTGGCAAAATGAGCAAAGAGATGATGTTCTGCTGTTTTATTGAACAAAAAATGGCTCAAGAGAAGGAGCATCAGATCTGAGAGTGGAGGTCCAGAAGTTTTCATTAGGTAAGAAGATGGGCAATTTGGTATGTTTTAAGGCATTTTTTCCAAAAACTAGAGCAGTTGTTAAAATTAGTACCAGGCAAGAAAGAGCACTGCATTGAATTTATAGCTTAAATAGCTAAATCACTTGGTACAGTTATAAATAGTCACTGAATTTTTTTTTCACTCACGCGATATAGGCATTGCTGGCTGGGCCAACATTTATTGGCCATCCCTATTTGTCCTTGAGAAGGTGGTGGTGACCTGTTTCCTTGAATGGCTGCAGTCCATGTGTAGCAGGTTGACCTAAGATCCTTTAAGATTTGACCAAACAATACTGAAGGAACGATGATATATTTCCAAGTCAGGCTGGTGTATGGCTTGGAGAGAAACTTGCAAGAGGTGGTGTTCCCATGTTTCTGCTGCCCTTGTCTTTCTAGATAGAAGTGTTTCTGATTTTGGAATGTGCTGTCTGAGGATCTTTGAATTTCTGTGCATGTTTTAGATACACTGCTGCTACTGAACATTGGTGGTGGGAGTATTTTTATAGATGTGGTGCCAATTAAGCAGGCTGCTTTGTCCTGAATGGTATTAAGCTTCTTGAGTGTTGTTGGAGTTGCCCTCATCCTGGCATATGGGGAGTATTCCATCACACTCCTGACTTGTGCCTTGTAGATCGCAGACAGGCTTTGGGGAATCAGGAGATGAGTTACTCACTTCAGTATTTCTAGCCTCTGACTTGCTTTTGTAGCCACTTTATTAATATGGCGAGTCCAGTTGAGTTTCTGGTTAATGGTGTTCCCCAGAGTGTTGATAGTGACGGAATTCAGTGATGGTAATGTCATTGAATGTAATGGGGGTGTGGTTAGATTGTCTCATATTGGAGATTGTCATTGCCTGCCACTTGTCAGCCCAAGCCTGGATATTATCCTGGTCTTGTGGAACATGGGCTGCTTCAGTGTCTGAGGAATTGCTGACAGTGCTGACAATTGTACAATCATGGACGAACATCTCAATTTCTGACCTTATGATGGAGGGAAGGTCATCTATTAAGCAGTTGAAGATTGTTGAGCCTAGGACACTACTCTGAGGAACTCCTGCAGAAATCTCCTGGAGTTGAGGATGACTGACCTCCAACAACCACAATCATCCTCCTATCTGCCAGGTTTGGTTCCACGCAGCAAAGGGTTTTCCCCCTGATATCCATTGATTCCAGATTTGGCTCCTTGATGCCACTTGGTTGAATACAGCCATGATATCAAGGACTGTCACACTGTTCTCACCTCTGGAATTCAGCTCTTTCGTCCATGTTTGAACCAAGGCTGTAATGAGGTCAGGAGCTGAGTGGCCCTGGTAGAACCTAAACTTGGTGTCAGTGAGCAGGTTGTTGTTAAGTCAGTGCTGTTTAATAGCACTGTTTATGACACCTTCCATCACTTTACTGATGATCGAGAGGAGACTGAGGGGGAGTAATTGCCGGGTTGGATTTGACCTACTTTGTGTACAGGGCATACCTGGGCAATTTGCCACGTTGAGTAAATGCCAGTTTTGTAGCTATACAGGTGGGTATAGAGGTTTAGTTACAGGTGTGGCAAGTTCTGGAGCAGTTTGGTACTTTGCTGGAATATTGTTAGGGTCAATAGTCTTTGCAGTATCCAGTGCCTCCAACTGTTTCTTGATATCACATGGAGTGAATCAAATTGGATGAAGACTGGCATCAATGATGCTGGGAAGCACTGGAGGAGACGAGATGGATCATTAACTTGGCACTTAAGGCTGAAGATTGCTGCTTCAGCCTTATCTTTTGCACTGATGTGCTGAACTCTTCCACCATTGAGGATGGGGATATTTATGGAGTTGTTTAATTGTCCACCACCAGTCACAACTGGATGTGGCAGGATTGCAGAGCTTAGATCTGATTAAAATAATTTAATAAATAAATGAAACAAGACTAGCCTACAACATGACAGAATTTTTTGTCTAGATAGCAAAATGTGGAAGTTTATGGTGAAACTGTCCTGAATAAACATGTCTGCAGATGTCTCCATCTTGGATCTCTCTGGCTCAGGGTCATTAAGAGAGATACTGACATATAAGGGAGCAGGAGGAGTTTCTGGTTGGTTTTATCCAGCCTGTAACCACACTCCAGGGTAAAGCATATGGTTAGAAAAGGAAGTGTGTGACTGATAGGGAGTTGAGTCGCTGGGACTTAAGAAATGTTGAGGAAGAGATCTTGTAGACGTTTGTCCCGCCCATCAGGACTGATGTATTTGCTATCTTTAAGGATAAGGCAAAAGAACAGGTACAACGCAGATCACAGCATAATAATGGGCTTTATAATTATGGGATTGGCAGTGTCCCCTGCGACCAAGAACGAGAATCCAAAAGGATACGTTGTCTGCCCGGTTCCAGGTTAAAGGATATCTGTCAATAGTTGGTGAAGAACTTGGAAAAGGAGCGGTTGACTCCAGTTGTAGTAGTCTAAGTTGGCACAAAAAACTTTAATAGAAACAGGAGGACATCCTGGTGAAAGAATATGAGGATTGGGCTCAAAGTAAAAGCCTTGAGAAGAAGAATCACTGGATTAATGTCCAAGCCACGTGCATTGGAGCAGAAAGATCAAGGGGAAAGAGCATATCTAGGAATAACAAACCTGCCAGCTTAACTGCAGCGGTAGAAAATATGAAGGAGTACCCACTAAAGGAGAGAGTAGAAGTACATCTAGAATGCAAAATATCATAATGAATTTTAAAAAGGAAAATCATGCTTGACCAACCTTATTGAATTTTTGAGGTAAAAGAGAAGTAGACAATGCTGATGTAGTAGATTTATCTAGATTTTTGAAAGGTCTTCCAGTGTTGCCCCATTATAGACTAAGGAATAAGGCCAAAGAACGTGGGTTTAGGCACATGTGGCAGACTGTTTGACAGCTGACTTCAAGACAGAAAGCAGACAGTAAAGGGTATTTATTCTCTGTGCTCAGAAAGTTGGAAATGATGTTCCGCAAGAATCAGTACTCAAACAATAACTGTTCAGAATTTCCATTAACAATATTTTAATGATAAGAAACATGCTTATCAATTGGCAAAGAGAAGCAAAAGAGCCTCGGTGTATAAATACCTTGTCATTGAATGCTCTGCCAGAGATCAACAAGAAAATTTTTGAAAAAAGCAAGCCAAGCATTAGGTTTTATTTCTAGAGTATCAGGTTAAAGAGTAAGGTAATAAAGCTAAATCTGTATTGAACCGTGGTTAGACAGCACTTAAGAATACAGTATGCAGTTCTGGTTTCATACAGAGGCAACGTAAATATTGAGTAGAGCTCCCCTTACTTTGTTGCACCTGCATGTTTTAGAACCACCCTTATTTCTATTTTACAGTGACGTTTCCACTTACTCTGGTGTCTATTCTGTGACTTCATTGAATGTGATTTGCTGAATAAACGTTCCTTTTTGTTTGTTTGAGTTCATATTCACTAGTATCTTACTAAGCCTGTAAGCTATTGCACCAAGGATTTTTATAGACCTTAGAAGACACTTTTAGCTGGACAACCTGATCTGTGAATCAATTGTGGAATGGCAATCTCTAACCTGGTTTGCGTTCTGCTCCCCCATTGTTAGTTTGTTTTTAAAAAAAAGTATTTTGTAAAGTGGAAGTAAAACTACGCATTTAGTCTGAACTGGTGCACTCCTGGTCATTGAAAATTTACTGGATTTAACCACCAGTAAATGTAAGGTTCGCACAGTTCCCAGGATTTGTACTCTTAATAGTGTCCTGATTCATCCATCAATATCCAGGTTTCCAATGCCCTTATACCTGCCTATTCCGCTGTATTTTTCTAATGAGAGTGGTGCTTTGAGGATCTCCCCTCACGACTGATAATGTGGAATTGTCCAGGAGATTGATCAAGATCCATGAATATCATAGTACTGCATGTGACTTGACTTTCATGTCATACCTATTACATTTCAGTTATTCCAATCGTTTGGTTTGACTCCAGCACCACCTTATTTTTAATTTTTTGTAATTTTCTCTCTGCATTATTTAATCTGATTATAGGTCCCTTCACTTGTTATTCAGCTATTGACACTTTACTCACACTGTCTGACACTTTTTTGATCACCTGCAGAGACTTACTATTTGACACTCCAGTCACACCACTTGTATGATCTTTTGATCTCTCTGCCCTTGATCTCTCTGCCTGTAAATTCTGTGTCTATGTGCTTCTCTCTCACTTCACCTGGCGAAGGGGCTCCGCTCTGAAAGCTTGTGATTTCAAATATAACCTGGTATCATGTGACTTCTGACTTTATCCACCCCAGTCCAACACTGGCACCTCCACGTTATTACATTTCAGAAAAACTTCCTTAAAATCTGCTTTTGAACAATCTTCGTGAAATATTTAAGATTGGTGCATTGCTACATTTACTGATTTCTTTCCATCTCCTTTGATATATGTCAATCTTTCTTCTTCCGTGCCAGATGGGGAAACTGACCAAGCAAGAGGTAGAAGCCAAGTTCTGCAATCTGTCACTGTCACAGAATAATGTAAGTTGAGCAGCTGCTTGTTTCCCATATAATGACATCTGCCTCAGTCCATAGAATTACTTGAATGTACAGCAGATTTGTAACTTATTAGTTCTAACTGGTCTGTGCATGTGTTAATGCTCCATGTGAAGTTCCTCACACTTTCTTTATCTAATTCTATTGCTTTTCCCTAGTGGGAATGTATTTTAAATGCATTGACGATGCTGGGCTTTGTAGAGGGAGAAAAATCTTCTGTTTTTAAAGTGCTATTTCTCTCTCATTCAGCTGTTGCACCTATATAAATATACTGAGAAAAAGCTGGATCTGAAAGACTTGAGAGATGTACTGAAACCTCTCATGAAGGGGAAGATAGCTGTTTGCCAGCTGGTAAAACAGGCCTTAAAGGAGCTTGAGGAAGTTATAGAACTCCTGAAGAAACTTGATGTCAAACTAAAGGTTGGTAGTAACTCTAATGAATGATTTTAAACAGAGAAGGTACTTCACCTAATAGCTCAACTTGTTAATGCATTGAGTGAAGTTGAACCATATAGCTGGAGCGATAGGAGGCTTAGGCTCAAGTCCCATTTGCTCTGAAGGTGTGTAATAACATCTTTGACCAGGTTGATTAAAAATATCTTTAGGTGCAGTGGTGTCAGTTCAATTTTAATCCGCAAATGATACTAATCCTCATTGACCTCATCTACCCTTTCCGAGATGCTATCTGCTAGTATTTCTCTTCTTTATCGCCGTTCTGTATGACTCAGGAATTTGAGCTCCACAGTTGAAGTGACCTGCTGATTCCCTGTTCAGATAGTTTATTAATAAAATTAATAAACCTCTTTGGAGACAAATTGTCATGACATGCCTCTGTAGCAGGTGGGACTTGAACCTGGATCTCCAGATCCAGTGGTAGGGATACTACCACTGTGCCACAAGAGCTTTGATTCCCTGTCCTTACAGGAAATGGTGCTGAACAGCACATGCAGCAAATAGAACTAGACCCTAGCATTGACTTTAAATTTAGAAGGGTTAAAATTAGAATGTAAGCTAGAGCCAAAAGAGGTGAAAGATGTGCAACTTGATAGGTGGTGTGTGAGACCGATTTGTATATCCTGAGACTCTCAACAAGCAGACTTGTAGCTAGTAACCAAAACAGGAATACTCGGCAGCTTTAGCTGTAAAGGTGCAATGAGAAGCAGTTAACATTTCCAGTTGATAGTCCTTTGTCTGAACTTGGAGTACTTGGAGATGTAACAGTTTTAAGACAAGGGCAGGGCTGGAAGGAAGAAAAAGGAAAGTCTGTGATCAGGTGGGAGGCAGCAGAGTATATTTTGAAATAGGTTCAAAAGGTATGGCTGGAGGAGGTGTAAATGTGAAAAGCAGAATCATCACTGGCAGCAATCATCCTAAAAGAAACAAAGAAAGAGCAGAGCCTAGGATGTGAGATTGTGGAACTCAGTGTTAGACCCATGAGACTATAAAACGTTTGATCAAAAAATGAAGTTCTATTCCTTGAGCTTGGATTGAGCTTCATTGGAATGGTACAAAAAGGTTAGATTTGGCATGAAGGACTAGTGAAAGACCTTGCTGAAATGGGTGTTGATGTCAGTCTTCCTTGTTTTATAGGTCGTGGTTAACCTGGGCCTTGTCTACAAGGTGCAGCAGCACAGTGGAGTAATTTTTCAGTTTGTAGCACTCGTGAAGCGGCGACATCATATTGTGCCAGATATTTTGGCAGCTGGAGGGAGGTACGACAGTCTGGTGAGTTCTTTTGGTCCTGCCTTACCTTGGTAGCACTGATCACCTGTTGCTGTATAAGATTCTGTTCATCCAGATGCAGGAATGTTTTGTAACCTTCACACATTCTCGACAATGTGGTGTTAAAACAAGAAAATGAATTCCTTTTGCTTACTAACAAATGGTGACTTCAGTCAGTTACTGGTACGTCCTTCAACAAAGCTGTAATGCTTTAGGTAGAATTGCTGTTGTATACATTTTGATCATGCATCTTGATCAGAATAAATTAATTACTGTAACGTTGCATCTTACACCTGGTTCAGTGTCCACACTGGTGCAGACCATTAAATATTTTTGTGTCTTCGCATATGCGCAGTCACACACACAAGAAACTCTCCTCCTTTTAATATATCCTTTACTTTGGTACGTTACAACACATTTTTCATATATCATGCTAAACAATGAGAGCTGTTGGTTTATTGGAGCACGGAAGTCATCATGACTGACATCCACTCTGTTCTGAGCTGCAGTTCACACTGTTTAAATTTCTATCAGTGCTTTCTTTGTTAATATTTTCTTTTTTTAGCCTTGAGGCAGTGTGGTTAATTTTGGTATCTCTGATGCAGTCACAGCAGAGCCACCCAACCTTGATGTGGCATGTGGATTGAACCTGTTTTGTCCGACTCATTTCCACGCTTCACTAACTTCTCCAACATTTCCTTTTGCGTGATGTTGTAGCCCTCAGGTATCAATGTGCAGATCTTGCATAAGAGCAGATCAAGTAAAAGTTGATACTGCCTTCCCATCTAGTTTGACTCATCTTCAACTCCATGTCAGTCCTCCACATTTATTGTTGTGCAGAGCCCAAACTATCTAGGTTTTGTCATGGTGTGACTTGATGCAAGGTAATTCCTCCCCCCGCCCCCACACCATTGCTGAATGTGTTGGTACTGACTTGTCTCTGAAGAACATTCCTGCACACGTGAAACGTGTCATTCTTCGAGGCATATCTTATATATTTTGTTTCTAATTAAAAATCTCTGTGATTGAGGTGCTACATGGCCATTATGATAACCCAGAAATGCTGTTATTTTCTCAATTTGTCCGAGTTATCGAATTATCTTAATGAGGTCCCATGTAGGAACAACATTGTTGATTATGGGTACTGGATGGGCAAATCCACTTGCTTTCCGTTCTCTGTGATACCTGTTATTGGATGTCTAAGTGGAAATCCATGTTTGAAGAACCAACCTCTCTCCAACCCTATCCATGAAGGATAGTCATGTGGATAAGAGATAAAAATAGACCTGCCTACTGTGAATCCATTGTCTAGGAAGAGTCTGCACCTCTGTATGCACATATGCAAGGTATATGGGTGTTTCTACAGCACAGAAGTTTATTGAAGCTCTCATTCACTGTATTGCAGAGTGATAGATTGATCCTGTCTTTCCCTGAATCATGATTTGTGTCCTCCGTTGTAGAAAGGTGTCTGACATTTAAACTGGGGAGGGAGGAAAATCAGCTGAATTTTGGGTCTGTTCAACTCTGTAGAGTCTAGTTCTACAGTCATCATTGGAACTATCTTCCTCCTGTCCTGCCACAAGTTATGACATAATATACAAGTTTCTGCTCATTATAGCTTTCCAATTCTCCCAATTCCTTGAAAAAACTTACAGGTCTGGCAGCTTCTGTGGAGAGAAAACAGTCAATGTTTTGGGTCCAATGACCCTTCTTCACAACATTAATTCTGCTTTGTCTCCACAGATGCTGCCAGACCTGCTGAGTCTTTTCGGCAATTGTTTTGTATATTTTTTCTGATTTCTAGCATCCACAGTTCTTTGTTTTGTTTCCACCATCTCCTTTCCAGATTTGCTATGGATATGGAGTAGGCAATTATTTAGTACATCACCTAACCTATTATTATTTATGTTTAAGATAGCAAACGTCACCTTTAGCAGTGAATGATGTCATTAACAGACCTGATTCTGACCTTGCCCAGTGATCCCCACACATCCAGTTTCAAGCAAGGATGACTGGAGCAGGAACTCTGAAAGATTTATGGTTCCTCAGTTCCCCACTCCCTTCTTTGCAGACAGCACTGAGATCATTTGTAATGGAAGTGATAGCACCAGCTTCCCTGGCTGAGATTAGCTAGATTAGTCCAGGTCAAAACTCAGTCATAGAGCAATCCCAGACTACGGGAACAACATCATGCTCTGCATTCATCCCTTTCGGCATTTGCAGATTTGTGCAAAATTGTTTGTAAATGTAATTTTCCTTTTTCAAGAAATAAGAATTATTATGAGTTGTTCTTCCTCTTCCTTAGATCCTTGAGTTCCAGAAACCACAGGTTGTGGGACCACTGCCCTCTGCTGTAGGAGTCAGCCTTGCCTTGGATAAAATTTACACCCTTTGTAACGCATCTGAGCAGGTGAGTTACGCCAAGAGTATTATCTTGCACTTTATATCATTGCTGGTTTCATGTGTAATATATTAGCCAAACACAAGAAGTGTTTAGTGACTGAGTGAGGGCTGGGGCCATGCTGGAGCCATGCTGGAGAGATGGATTCCAACACAAACACTTTTGTTTCTTAAGCTTGTAACAGTGAGCTGTTTGTGAACTACAGGTTGATAACTCTACAACCAACTGTCTTCCATTGTAGCCTGCTATCTGTGAGATCCTGGTGGTTGCCGTCGGGAGTGTGTCACTGGACAGAGCCATTGGCCTCATTCTGCAATTGTGGAAATCTGGCATAAAAGCTGAGTTGCTGCACAATGTCACCCAGGTAATGGATGTAGTAGATTTGGGATGCGGATGTAATTTAAGAGGCTAGAGGTCTATTGATGGAAACTGATGTCCAAGCACCTTGATTTAAGGAAATGTAGGAGGCAGATATACTTTGGTGTTTAACGCCATGATTACTCAGCTTGTCTGTGTTACGTGTGCTGCCATTTATATCTTCTAAATGTGTGGTTTCTTTAAGGGCTTAGGCTGTCTAGTGTCTGGCTTAATGAGAAGGGTTTTGTAGACTAAATGTAATGTAGTTTATTGCATATTTGCAGGTTATAAGATTAGACTGTTGGCAGGACTGAACCTTGGGTCCATTTCCCACAAGATTCCACCTTACTTTTCTCACCGATTCCTCATGACATCATCAGTGTGGGTGGTGCTTAGTGACCCCAATGAAGTATTAACCCTTTCAGACACATATGCTACATCTAAGCCTACTACATCCTTAAAGGCTTATGTGGTCTAGTGTGTGCAAGGATAGCCGTCTTGTTGTGTAATGAGAAACATCTTCTAGATTAAACAAGATATAGGTTATTGCATCTCAATAAGAAGAGGCTCTACGTTACTAAAAAGACTGTTGGGAGGACTTGACCTTCGGCCTGGTGTCCCACTGATAGCCCATGGGATCCTTGGTCATTCTTCATGTGTAAACAGATGACCATTATTGGAATAAAAGGGAGCGTCTCAACTAAGCTGGGTGACATGAACTGTGAGGAAATGGTCACCTGTACAGCAAAAGGGTAGGAAGATGGGTGGATGTCTTTACAATCTCCACTCTTGATAACCCCAGCTGAGATTAGCTAATTTAGCACTGACCAGGGATTGAATTTGTGTATATCCTGCCTCTATGTTCATTCTCACACTAAATCAATCTTTGTTTATGTTATATTGGGATGATACTATAGCTTTAAGAGGTGTATTTTGTCCTGTTCTTTTTTTTTGAAGAAAGGTTGAGACGGAGGTGCCCAGCGGACTTCTCAAGGCCAATAAACAGCTTGCGGGGCCTTGATGTTTTTTGTCTTGAAGTTGGAACAACTTAGAAGCAGCCTGAATGGATGGAGTCAAATTCTTGCAGAACCAGGATTTTTAGTTTTAGCTTTCAGCAGTTGCTGGGGTCTTGAAGCTGAATATGGAAGCTCTTATTCCTCTCTCCATTACAGCTAAAAGCTGGGGTTCTCTTCCTGCTGCTAGAATTTGCATGTGAAACAGTTTGTTTTACTGAATTTGCCTTTGCCAAGGGTGTCTTTATGGGCTGTTACTATATTGGAACAGCTAATATATAATTTTGTAAAGCATTTTGATAGTTACAGTTAAAGAAAATTATTTTATTTCCTTCTTGTTTTGTCTGTATTTTAACTGTAGTGTAAAAATAGTGTGTTTTGCTTAGAGTAGTTTGACCAATCAAATTGCATCTGGAACTCAACGCCTTACATTTACTTTTACTTTTTAAATAAGGAAAAATTAAACTCTGGACTATCTTAATATATTTTGAGGGGGCTTGGTCAGGTCCATAACAACATTACCTGACTACATCCTGTGCTCAGTATGAATTAAAGGTGTGTTTCTGATTTCACGTGGATGTAGTAACAGTGTCGGCATTTTTTTAATCTCAGGAAGAAGCTCAGGAGCATTGTAAACAGGTTGGAATCAGTTACTCCGTCCTTATCTCTGATAAGGAGAGTAAACATGTGAAGGTAACAAACTTTTTAATAAGATATATCTGAATATTAAAATCCCCAGTGCCCCTTATTTAAAAGCAAATCCGTGCATGCATTGTGTATTATTATACAGTGGTGGAGCTGCATCTTTTGAAGGCCACAAAATCTAACTGGTACAATATTACCAAAACATTTACATCGGTCATCTGCAGTTCAGTTCTCGTTCAGCCAATAATGTTGCAGATTGGAACTTATAACTAAGTTTTAAGGCTGTCCCTCAGAACCACGTGAAATTTGTAAGATGTAATTTATTGATCACTCTGCTATTTCCACTGGACAGTATCTCTGCATGAGTTCATGCTTTCAGGAGGGAAGTGAAGGGTAGAATGTCCTCAATACCGAGAGAGATCACTCAGACAGATCAGTCAGTTAACTCAGTGATCCTTTAATCTGGCTACAACTGATTTAGCAAACAAAACCTCAGTTAATGTTACAAATCAAGCAAAGTAAAGCATAGGACTTGCAAGCTAGCCTAAGTATTACCCATGAGTGATGAACCTAGCTGAAGTTTTCCGAAGGGGTCTCCAACCACTGCGTCCCAGACACTAGGGATGGTCACTTCTGTTCTGAGGAAGGGTCACTGGACCCGAAACATTAACTCTGTTTTTTCCTTCACAGATGCTGCCAGACCTGCTGAGCTTTTCCAGCAACTTTGTTTTTGTCGTTTCTGTGATAGTTGTTCTTTGGAGTGTCACTGCCTTTGCTTGCTTTGTTCCCTTCTCTATAGGGTAATTGTTTACTCCTTTTCTTTCAATTACTCTGTAAACCTTGAAGCTTTGTATGTTATCTCTCCCAGTCTTTGCTGACTGCCCTTGCAAGCTGCTACTAATTACCCCACTGTGAAGTGGCTATTTATCAGCCAAGTTGCTTATCACTTGAATCTACAACATCTTGTCAGTCGCTACAGTCAGAGGACTTTGAGACCCCTATCTGTCAGGATGTGGAGGTGCTGGTGTTGGTCTGGGGTGGACAAGGTCAGAAATCACACAACACCAGGTTTTAGTCCAACAGATTTATTTGAAAACACAAACTTTTGGAGTCTTACGCCTCCTTCAGGTGTTAGTGAGAGATGTAGTATCAGACAGAATTTATAAGTTTAAAAATCAAAGGGTCACACCACTTATGAGGATGTACTAAACAAACCTAAGATGCTGTTAAATCTTCAATCAGTTAGAAGGTTTTAATTGATTAATATGTGTTTGTAAATCCCCAAATTCCTTTGAAGTCACTGTCCTGAGAAAACTAAAGGTTTAATCAGTGTAAATAAGAGGTGACATTTTAGGTCAGACAATGCATGTTAGGTGTGAGGCCTTGTTTAGAATCTGTTTGTGTTTTGGTTTGGAGTCAGACTAATTTCTAAGTAGGCATTTGTAAACTGCCACATTGACTGTCCATAAATTGTGTGTTTTTTGAACAAAATAGAATGTATCTGCAAATACAAATTCACCCCACAGATTTGTGTGTGTGTGTGTGTGTGTGTGAGAGAGAGAGAGAGAATGTGTGAGTGCGCGCGTGTGCATGGGAGGATGGGGTTGGGGTAGAGAGAGGGTGTGTGTGTGTGTGTGTGTGTGTGTGTGTGTGAGAGAGAGAAAGAGTGTATAGTGTGGGGTGACAGGAACCCAAGATCACCCATGGGGATGGCCTCAACCAGAACCTTGGGCTCATGTTGCACTGCAGGTGACCACACCCACACCATCCACCGCCCAACCACACATTCACTCTCACATAGATCCTCTCCTGTACACACACACACACACACACACACACACACACACACACACTTTCTTTCTCTCTCTCCCACCCTCCCTCGCTCACACTTTCTCTCTCTTCCCCCCCACACGTGCACACACATAAATCTATGGGGTGAATTTGTATTTGCGGATACATTCTATTTTGTTCAAAAAACACACAATTTGTAGACAGTCAGTCAATGTGGTGGTTCATAAATTCCTACTTTAGAAATAAAACCAGTCTGACTCCAAACCAAAACACAAACAGATTCTAAACAAGGCGTCACACCTAACATGCATTGTCTGACCTAAAATGTCATCTCTTCTTTACACTGATAAAACCTTTAGTTTTCTCAGGACAGTGACTTCAAAGGATTTCGGGGATTTACATATACATATTAATAAATTAAAACCTTCTAACTGATTAAACATTTAACAGCACCTTAGGTTTGTTTAGTACATCCTCATAAGTGGTTTGACCCTTTGATCTTTTACTTATAAATTCTGTGTCTGATACTACCTCTTTCGCTAACACCCGAAGGAGTAAGACTGCAAAAGCTTGTGTTTTCAAATAAGCCTGTTGGACTGTAACCTGGTGTTGTGTGATTTCTGACCTTGCCCACTTGTCAGGTTTGATGTACTTTGTCAGAGCCTTGGGCTCATAGAGTGAAAGGTAAAAGAACTGAACAAGCAAAGGTGAAGCATGCCGGAAAATGAAACTGAATTTTTGACCTAAATGTTTCCCTTTTCACTATGCCCTGATTCTAGTCAGGTAATTGAAGGCAACTTCACCACAACTGTTACAATCTGTGTTGGCTGTGAGCCTGCCTCTCAAAACAAGAATGCAGATGACATTTCTGTAACAGCAGCAGAAGTAGTGTTACACTACAGTCAGAGAGTGATTGCCTGCCAGTAGCTATCCCCTGCATTGCCAATTTTGCAAATACCCAAGGGGATAAATCAATTTGGAGCGTCGGCTGTGCTTTTGATGAGAGGTGGTAACAGAGCATGTAAAGGTTTCCACAGATGTTAGTTCAATGATTAGAGAAATCTCCCTCTAGGCTGTAAAGTATATTTATTAGGAGTGGTTTGCGGTTGTTGCCTTATTGATATACAGTATTCTGCTTTGATTTAATGGTAATTAAATGATATAAAAACCTTGATAGTAGTAAATTCTGCAAGGTTATAGAAACAGTTGTCACTCCTGTGATAGTTTTTCTGTGTTCCCTTTGCTGCAGCTTTTCTTTACCCACCATTTATACCTGTTTTTATTTCCTCAGATCTGAAATGACAGTGCACAATTTATAGGTTCCTCATCAATTGTATTATACTCTTGTTACAGTTTAAGACAGGAGTTTTGGAGCCTTGCAGTGTGAGGGAGGAGACCCTCTGTGTTGTTGGGGCGAGATAGGGTGCAGGTCTGATCTGGGAAAGGCAGACCCTGTCTGTGGTGAAGGGGTAGGAAGGGAAACTTAGAGCGTATGGTTGGGCATGAGGAACTGATTGGACACCTTGTGTAGTTCATTTGGTTTTTTGAGGTCACTGGTGAGACCCTCTGTGTGGTTGGGGAGAGCGGTGATAGAGAAGGAGTGTGTGATCCTGTAGGGAGCATGGCAAGTTTGGTTGGAGGAATTATGAGAGATCTTGTCTGAACTCATGGAAACTGGGAATACCCTATCTTTAAGGGAAATAACCGTCTCTGCAGCCCCAGTAATTAGGCAAGAATTCTGGTCTCCTTGCTATAGGAAAGATGTTGTTAAACTTGAAAGGGTTCAGGAAAGATTTACAAGGATGTTGCTGGGGCTGGTGGGTTTGAGCTCTAGGGAGAGGCTGAATAGACTTGGGGCTATTTTACCTGGAACCTGGGAGGCTGAGGGGTGACCCTATAGAGGTTTATAAAATCATGAGGGGCATGGATAGGGTGAATAGCCAAGGTCTTTTTCCTGGGGTTGGAGAGTCCAAAACTACAGGCCATAGGTTTAAGGTGATTAGGGAAAGATTTAGAAGGGACCTAAGGGGCAACTTTTCATACAGAGGGTGGTGCATGTATGGAATGAGCTGCCAGAGGAAATGGTGTAGGCTGGTACAATTAGAACATTTAAAAGGCATCTGGATAGGTATATGAATAGGAGGGGTTTAAGGGATATGTGCCAGATGCTGGCAAATGGGATTAGATTAATTTAGGATATCTGGTTGGCATAGACAAGTTGGACCAAAGGGTCTGTTTCTGTGCTGTACATCTCTATGTCTCTAATTCCCAGCTATGTGGCTGTGCGAGACAGGAATTCTCAAAGCACGACTGTGCCAAGAGAGTTGGGCTTTTGTCATGTTGTGATCATTTCTCGTTTGCTGTTTTCAGGTACGATCATTTGAAAAGGACAAGCAAACTGAAAAACGAATTCTGGAAGTGGAGGTAGTGGAGCACTTAAAGAAAATCAAATCTAAGATCTCGGAGGAAAAGAGCAATAGGTGAGATTTTTACTGTAGACCAGAGGGTCAATGATTGCGATGGTTGCTGTCTTGTATGAGCTAGCCAGTAGAGCTGTGATGAGACTTGAGGTCAGGACTGTGTTCACCAGGGTAGAGAAGTTCAGGTTAGATCAGGTAGTGGGCTCTGAAGTACAGGAGAGTAAATGCAAAAAGCAAAGGATTATTGATTTGTGAATCTCAATCAAAGAACTTGGATTCATATTAAAAATGCAAGAGGGAAGGGCAGAAACAATTTTTTTTAATTGATAGAGGAAACTGTGGATTTTTTGCAATGCAGTATTGATTCCGAGCTAATTGCAGGTTTATTGGGAATAGGTTAAACTCTTGGAATGAAGATATTGAAGGCAATGAGGAATTTCATTTGAGTGTTCAGTCAACAACATCAGAATTCCTGTCTTTCTTCTGCTGATTTAGTGAAGGGCCCTTAACTGTGATGTGTAGGGTTAGTGAAGGTTTTGGCAGTACTGCATTTTGTGGAATGTTGGGATCGGTGTTTAGAATTGTGGTTCACGTTAACTTGGAAATATTGTGAATTGTGAGGAGGATAGGAGACGTGGTGGAATGGTTGGAAACATGGGGATATGTATACACAAAACATCGGAGGAGGTAGGACAGGTTGAGAAAATTAATGAAGTATATGGAATTGTGGGCTTTTTGAATATTTTTGAACAGTTATAAAACTTTGATTTTTTACCTCAGTTGTTGCATGGTGTCCAATTCTGGGATGACATCTCTGGGACGATGTGAAGACATCGGAGACAGTGCAGAAAAGATTTGCAAGAATGATTCCAAGAATGAGGCTCTTTAGTTGTGTGGATAAATTTTGAAGTGGGAGGTGATTGAGATTTTATAGAGATGTTCAAAACCTTTAAGTGACTGGACAGAGAGAAACCATTCTGTTTGACAGAGAATTTGAGGGCCAGAGGATAGAGATTTTAATATACACATTGAGTGGTTAGGATCTGGAAGGTACTGCCTGAAAGTGTGCTGGAGCTCGTTTCAGTGATGTTTTACAAAAGATAATGGGGAGAGTGGGACTGACTGTCGTCTTGCAGATAGCAGGAATAGACACAACAAGCTGAATGGACTCCTGTAATGTTTCATTTATTCTTTTCTGTGATTTCTCCAAACTGCAGTCCGTAATTGTCTCATTGTGTTTTGGTTTGAAAATATGATTAAAAGCAGAATCCTCTAAATGTCTAAAGCTGTGATTCACTAGTTAGATGAGGGAAGAGACCATTGCTTCTCATAGAGGACAGAAGCAAGAGTATACTGTCCTGCCTAATTAATGTGCCTCTTGTCTCACTGCTGGTTAAAATACACTTAAGCCCTTGAGCATTACGTCCTTCTGGCTGCAGCTGAATGGCCACATCAGGAGCAAATTATTGAAATGAGAAGTTTTGAATGGTCATGTAAAGAAAGCAACAATGAATGCCATCAGTTTATGAAAAGTGATCATTGCTTGACCTAACCATTCTTATCCTTGCTAGGTTTGAAGTTTCCCCAGGCTGAGTTCTGTTGACTGTCTTCCTTGTGTTTTCTTTTAAACAGGGAAACTCCAGAGAGCCCCTCCTCTCAGAACCTGAAAGGGTCACTCAGCAGTTCTACAGGTACCATTAGCTTCCTTGGCTAAGCAATGGTATGGTTTCAGCAATATACCCCACTTAACATTTGATAAAGGATTGTGTCTTAGTCTCTCACTGGGAAGTGGGACGTGTGGGTTGAATAACAATATCGTTGACTGAATTCCCATGGTTGGAATCACTGGTATACCATTCACGAGTCCAATTCTATTTCATACCCTGGGATCTGTATCATTTTTTCCAGTTTTTTGAGTCACTTTGGGAAATGAGTTATATACAGGCTTGGTGGCTTTACAGTGCAGACAGGACAGTGTTTCCAGTTATTGGAGGTAAGTACAATATTCCACCTCTTCAGAGCATGCTGAAGAGGAAAAAAAATCCTAATTGAGATAACATCAAGGCTTTGAGAGGCAGTGTTTCAGTTCATTTTGTCACCATACTGTGATGCTCCTTACAACAATTGAATGTCTATCATGCAGGAACAATTGAAAAGAAAATCTTTAGCAAAAGCTGCTCTGTAACTCTGGAGCTACTTTTATGGTGGCGGCTTGTCCTGGGTTTACCTGTGGCTTTATCATTGATGCAGCTTCAAAAGCTTAAGATAATTTCTTTATCTCTAAAGAAAGAAATTCCTTTAGCTCCTTTTATAAATCTGATTTATTCTTTATGAGCATTACTGGAAAGGTCAGCATTTATCTCCCAGCACCACCTGCTGGCTGGCTTGCACCCAACCGCGCCTCTTTCTCCCGACTCATGGTGCACTGCAAATGCTGAATGACATCCTTTATCCTGGCACCAGGGAAACAACACACAATCCTAGATTTGTGCCATGGCCACAGGAAAATCTACCTGTTCCATAAACTGTCAGATTCTTATCAATATTGCTCTTCCAGCCTTCCGTGAGTCCCCTGTGCAGCTAATCCATGGTGCCGTGGACTTGGCTATGGATACACTTTTCATGTGAACCATCAATCTGATCGATATTCAGAACTGAATACTGAATGATGAGCCTGATGCACTCAGGAGGGCACCTGTTCTACCTACCTAGTCTTTTATGACTGTGTGTTGGTTACTTATTTCCCTCTCTTCCCTGCATACTCGTAAATGTACCATCCATGTAGCTCTTAGTTTTGTGGATGCATTGCAATGATGCTGTTACTCAACTTTTAACTGCAGAGCTCAAGCTGCTGCAACCAGATACCTGCTGCACAAATGGTCACCAGGACACGGGTCACAAAGTTCCCATATTGTGCAGGATGTCCAGCAGCTCTGTCATTCTCATCTTATGCAGTCTTTCAGTTGCTTCTCAGATCTCTCTCCATTTGCTCACTCTTGTGCTAGTTAGTTTCAGTTATTTGTGGTGCTACTGTGCCACTCTTCGTGATGAACAATCAAGTCCCCCACTCATAATACACTCCACACCCTTAGAGCTCCCATGTTTCTGATAGGAAGATCATTGACATTTATTGTTAATGATGCTGTTTCTGTCTCCATGGCTGCCAGACCTGCTGAACATTTCCTGCTTTAAATTTGTTCATTTTGTTTCAGAAATAGCAGGCTCTTCTTGACATTGAAATGCTGTAGACACAGTAGGATTCTGGCTCACACAATAGATTGGTTAACCTCAACAATCCTTAATTTAGTTTACTAATATCTTTAAATAGCACAGAACTTGAGGACTGCTGAAAAAGGCCAACTTTTGTTGAAGTTTTTTGACAAAATGTTGAAATGTAAAAAAACAAATGTTGCAATGTTTATACATTTAATTTTGCCTCCAAAGAACAGGACCATGTATTAATATATATAGCTTTCAGTAGGTACAAGCCACGTGAACCTGACTGATGATCTTAAATTGGTTGTCAGTATAATTATTGGCACTCTGGATTATTTAGCAAATGCTGAACAATTTAGGGTTCTGAAGAAGACTCATATTGGGGGCACAGGATGTCAGGATGAGGTGTCTTGACTATAAGGTATATTGCAAGGCCCAATAACTTATAGGGATTGAAATATCTGTGTGTCCTGGTCTCCTGTCCCCTAACAATGCTTTCTCTCAAACTACTATATTAAATAATTATAACATTGTGTTCTTAGAAGTAATGATAGTATTTGATCACTTAACCAGGTATGTCAAAAGTGTCTCTTTAACATATTGCTTTCACCCACAGGACCTTTTGAATCACATGGAAGCTCCTTAGTGCCAAATTTTAATTTAATTTCACCTGAGAAACTGTCAGCAAGCATGAAACGGCGATACGAGGAAAAGGTAAGGAGTGGATCTGTCTAGGGGAGCCGCTGTACTTTAGACAGGGCCTAAACCAAAGCATAGCTGAGACTGGAAAGAAAATGCCTCATTGCCAAATAATGTTATATAATCAGATCAAATCACTGTAGATTTGAAAACTTAAACCGTTTATCAGTAGCCTGTGACAATAGATCCTAACTGAAATATACTGGATATTGGTTTTGTTTGTAAATTCTTTCTGATTTCTGTTATTGGTGCTTTATTTTATTTAATGCTTCATTCCCATGTTCTAATACTCTGCCATTGACCGAAGCTGAAAATAGACTTCCTGTCCGGGGCTCTAGACAGATCATTTTAATGGCTCCCCCTGTAATGTTTTCATGCTCCCTCCCCCTTTCCAATGACATGGCAGCATTGATTATTCTTAAGATATGCTTCAACAAAACCCCTCAGGAAGATATGTTATATTCGGAGCTCTATTAGAATGCATCTTCATAGGTGATATTGTATGTGAAAAGGGAGAGCCACCTTTTCTTTTGGGAGATTGGTCAACATAATGCATTAATTGAGAAACTTAAGGTTAAAATCACACAAACCTTCAATGTAATTCTCGACTGCTCAGATACTGAAGCATTCCGTGTGCCCACACAGCAAGACCTGAACAACACCTAGGCTTGGGCTGATAGTGCCAGCTGGTAAGTATGTCCAGGAGGAGGATGCCTAACCACCTCCCCATGACACTCAAAAGCATTACCATTCCGGAACCTCCTACCATGTGCACTCTGGGGATTACCATTGTCCAAAACCATATAAATACTGTGTCCACTAGAGCAGGTCAGAGGCGAGGAATCCTGTAGAAAGTCAGTCATCCCCTGACTCTATCATCCAGAAGGCACAAGTCAGGACTGGGATGGACCTTCTGAGTTTCTTCAACATTTTCTTCTTTTATTCCAGGTTTCCAGCATTTGCAGTAGTTAGCTTGTATTAACGCAGCTTGCTTGTTTAGCATCCCATCCACAACCTTAACCATCCACTTTCCCCAACCACTTACACACAGTGTCAGCAATGTGTACTGTTTGCAGCATCTCACCAAGGTGCCTTTGACAACACCTTCCAAATCCGTGACCAGACTCACCGAGAAAGACAAGGGCAGGAGATATATGGGAACGACTTGGGTACCCCTACACCAAATGTACGACAGCTGTACAATAAGGCAACTCACTAGCAACTTTACCACGCCAGTTAGGAATGGGCAATAAATTCTGGCCTTTTCAACAAGTCCAACTTTCTGTTAATAATTGATTTGAAACCCCGTGGAAAATGTTACTCTGTAATCTTTTAACAGCTGTCCAATGCTATCATTAGTTCCATTCTAATTTAAGTGCTGACAATCTAAATTCCTTCCTCTTCCATGGGGCTGTTTCCCTTCAGATAAAAAAGCTTTTGCTGTGCAGTGCACTTCATACTCGCGCAAGTCCTAAAACCGCATAATCTTTGCAGGCAAGCACAACTCTATGTAGATGGATATACATCATTGCCCACTAAGCACGTAGTCTAACAAAACGTACAATGGTAGACACTGATGATTAGACAATAGTGAGTGCCTTTGAGAGGAGGATAGCAAGCACCATTTCTTTCTGGTTGTTGATGTGCTGTATCCATCTTTAAGTCATTCTTAAAGCAGCTCTTTGCTTTTCAGGTTCTCTCAAGACTTCAAACCTTTGTTAATAACCTGCAGCAGAAAAGCAATGACATTGAGGTTTTAGCGGTGAGTCACTGAACGATTGTTACACGTGTTGGTGTTGGGCACATTTAGAGTCTGAAACTGCAGCCAAAAGCGGAGCTGCTGTGATCACCGGAGAGAGGGTCACTTACTATATATTTAAAACCTGAAGAATGGCAGTGAGACAAAGAGAAAGGGCGAGGGATAAATGGCACTTTTTTTTTTAGTGTGTCCCTTCTTTGCATTGAGAAAACAGACTTCTATTAAAATGACCTTATGCAAAGTGCCCTGATTTAGTAGGAGTAGGCCTAGACAGAGCCACCCATTTTAAAGTCCTTACCTTTGATAATGAGCCTGAGATAATGAGTATGCACAGTCATGCTGAGAACTTTGAAGCTAACTAGAGAGATCAGTGCATTTTTTAAAAACAGGATGTGTGGAGAAACAAAATGTTTCAAAGAATAATCAGTCGTAATTAGTGAATAGGAACAATGTTCACTAAGGGCGGCACAGTGGCTCAGTGGTTAGCACTGCTGCCGTACAGCGCCAGGAACCCAGGTTCGATTCCATCCTTGGGCGACTGTCTGTGTGCAGTTTGCACATTCTCCCCGTGTCTGCATGGGTTTCCCTCCGGGTGCTCCGGTTTCCTCCCACAGTCCAAAGATGTGCAAGTTAGGCGGATTGGCCATGCTAACTTGCCCATAGTGTTCCGGGATGTGTAGATTAGGGGGATGGGTCTGGGTGGGATGTTCTGAGAGTTGGTGTGGACTTGTTGGGCCGAAGGGTGTGTTTCCCACCAAAGGGTTTCTATGATCTATGAATGTTGGCCTTTATGTCAAGCACAGTTCATAAAACAGTGATTAGACCTACTCTGGAATATTCTTCAGTTTTTGGGCATTAAAGCTCAGGAAGCATTACTTGGCCTTGAAAAAATTGGTGTAACATAGATTCATGAAAATAATTCTAGGCCAAAAGAGCTAAATTACAAGGACTGGTTTCTTAGACTGCCTTAAACTCTCTTCAGTATAAAGCATTAAAGGGTGACCTAATTGAAGTGTTTAAGTGTGTCAATTTTTTTTTAGGATAGATAGGAATCCCCTCTTTCATTCTGTAGGAGAATGTAGAATAAGGGGTATAACCTTAAAATTAAATCTAGGTTATTCCATGGGGATGTTAGGGAGCACCTCTTTATACAAGTGCTCATGGAAATTTGTGTGGGTGTTGATGGGGTAGGGGCAGCTAATGAACCTGTGAGAGCAGGATGGTTTAGCAAACATGAAAGAGCAAGGTGGTGGTGAAGGAGATGGGGTCAGTGTGTGTGGTGATGGGCACAGCTGCCCGGGCTGTTATGCTGTTGCCTTTCAGATTTATCTGCTGGCCAGCCTTAGACACAAACGATAAACTTTCCAATGTCTGCTGCTCCAGAAATCCAAGACAAAACATGGTCTCTCCCAGGGCAAGGGGAAAAAAGGCCTAAATAGAGTATGGCTGCAGAAAATCTGGGATGCTTGATCGTGGTCCTCACTCGCAAAAAGCTGACGAATTGAAAATTTCAAAGCTGAGATGGTAGATTTATGTTAGGCAAGGGTAGTGCAATGACTGGTCTGCCTGGATTTACTGCTTAAATGTCTGGAATGTGACTTGAGCCTCGGACTTTGTTTCTTATTCTTTCAGTGTGGGTGACACTGGTATGGCCAGCATTTGTCGCCCCTCCCTAATTGCTCTTAAACTGAGTAGCTTTTTTGGCCATTTCAGAGGCAGTTCGGAGTCACCCACATTGCCATGGGTCTGCAGTCACTTGTAGACCAGACCAGGTCAGAACAGCAAATTTCCTTCCCTAAAAGACACAAGTGAACCTGATGGCTTTGCAGAATCACTAATGGTCGTGTGGTCACCATTACTGCAAGTGGCTTTATATTCTGGGTTTATTAACTGAATTTAAATTCTACCAGCTGTGGATTTGGGTAAAGAAATCACATCAGTACATACAACCAGGTTTGTGATATAATTTACAGGTTGACGTATCGAAGGAAACTCTGATCAGCTTCTTATCGCTTGAGGTAAGATTTCATTTCTGTATAATTAATAAATGACTGTTTTTTTGCCTAGGCAGTTTGGTAAAGACTCTCACAGTCTACCGTTGTGTTCTTTTTCTGTTTATAAAATCTGCCTGTCCAATCCTTCATTTTCTCATAGGCCACTTGCATCCTATAGTAAGAATGGCTAGACTGTTATAGATCCTGTCATGTACCTACTCACTTCCCAACACTCATGTGTTGGCTGGTTAATTCATGGTCTGACTGAGATCACAGCCCAGGCTGATTCCTCCTTCTACACCCAGAGGCAGGTAGGCTTTGGTTGCATTTTATCATTCCCAGAGCCACTGATGCCTGTTGTAAAACAATGATCAATATCTTACACCAGCTAAGTCTCTGCTGTAGCTACTGATTAAACTCCACAGCCTTTGATTTGTATACTTAAAGCTTAATCACCAGAATGGAGCATTGGACCTACTTCTGGGTTATGTATTCTACATAGTTCAGTATTCTACATATTGGTCGGTTCAAAATCTGAGCGTGCACTTTCCAATGTCTTTGGGTCATCTCAGCACTCCCTATGTACATTGGTATTGGAATAGTTGATTGTTCTCTTCTGCCTGTGCCTGCTCTGATTCTTTATTCCTCCTGTCCTAGTACGGTGGAGATGAGCAAACATTCAATGTCAGCGTGCAACACCTGCTTTCCCGGTCAACTAAACAGCGCTACCTGAAATCCATCTGTGACCAAATCCACCATTTCAAGTTGATCAAGAGGTAAGATGGGAGCACACTAGTGTGTTTGAGAAGTGGGAGAGATTCCTGGTTGCTGTACTGGGACATTGGTGCGGTTCCTGGATGTTGTGATGGGTAGTTTTTGTCAGTGGCAGGAAGACGGTTCCTGGGTGTTGCTGCAGATTCTGTGTGGGGATCCTGGGGGAGTACTGCAGTTAACACTACGATTAGATATTCTGACCTCTTGTAGAATTCTCTTAATTCTGGAATATAGCAGGCTTCACATTCCCAGTTCATGATGCTGTTTCTGAATAATTACAACCGAGAATTCATCTAGAAGCCAAACTACAATGAAACTTTCAGTTTTGTGCTTATCAAGCTGGAGAATGAGGCACATTCCCATTTTCAGGCATCCATTACCTGTCTTTTTTTTTAATGTTTCGAGCATTCCAGGACAAGTACAGCACAGGACTAGATACAGAATATACCTTCTTGGGTGCAAAACCATTGATAGTTAATTAAAAATCTCATAGGAGAAGATACTGTGGCAATGAAGTAGTTACAATACATTTGAGACTTCCATAATAAGTTGCAGAGCGATTTACTCGCCTAAAACTAGAATCTTGAAAGGAGCTATGGTTGGGCAAATAAACTAAAAGGTACAGCAGTAAGTAAACAATGGAAAATATTTGAAGCAGTGATGAATAAAATGCTGAATAAAAATTCATTGCGTTACGTACAAAAATTCAGTGAGGAAGTTCCATCACTGGCTTACTAAGGTTTTTAAGAATGTAAGGAAAGGCTTATAATGTTGCAAAAAATGGTAATAAGCCAGAGGAAGGAGAGTTTTTGGAATCATCAAAAGACGATAAGATAATTTATAAAAGGAAATGGCAGAGGTGAAGGACTAATATTTTGAATTAATCTTCAGAATAGACACACAAATGATGGCTTACATTGTAAGGTTCTGAAAGAAGTAGCTGCAGAAATAGGGCTTGTACAGCTTATGATTTTCTAAAATTCTCGATTATCGAACAGCCCCAGCTGGAAGGTAGCAAATATAACTTCAGTATTCAAGTAAGAAGGCAAACCTATTGTTAAGGAAACCTGAACAATGTACTTAGAAAGTCATTGCACGGTCAGAATTGCCATGGTTGTAGAAAAGCAAAATTGTGATTGGCAAATATATTCATTTTCATAAATTTTGAGAATTTAATCAGTGGGATGGGTAAAGGGGAGCCAGCAGAATTATACTTGAATCTTCAAAAGTCATTTGTTAAGCTATTTACAGTCTATGATAATGACTTTAACAAAAAGAATGAGCGTAATGCATCTAAGTCAACTGCTGATACAAAGCTCGATGGGAATGTAAACGGAGAGAGGGGGATAAAGAGATATCAACAGAGTGTGATTGAACTACCACGTGGCAGATGTACTGTAATATGGAAAGCGTGAGGTCATTCATTAGGTAATAAGAACACTTTTTTAAAAATTGTGAATATTTAAATATTGATGATCAGAAGGACTCTGGTGTACTGATACAAGGAAAGCAGTTAGGAAGGCAAATTACATGTTGACCTTTATCGCAAGGGATATGGAGAACAGCTATAGCCTTACTACAATTATATGTTGTTTTGGTGAGATTACATCTGGAGCATTGTGAGCAGTTTTTATCTCCACATTTAAGGCAGTGTATAATTTCGTTGGAGACAGTACAGTTAATAAATGAGGTGATCTCATTAAGACATAGAAGATTTTGAAGAGGCTTGACAGGGTAGACAAAGAGGGCTTGTTTCCTTCGCCTGGTGAATCCATAACACGGGAGCACAGTTTCAGGATAAGGGGCAGATAACTTAGAAACAAGAAATTCTTCTTAATTTAAATACTGAGTTTGTGGATGTTCCATTGTTTAATACCTTTTAAAAGCTGAGAAAAACAGATTTGTGTTCTCAAGGAATTCAGGGATATGAAGCAAATGATCAGTCCATGAGGCCAAATTGTCTCCTCCTGCTCCTATTTTTTGGGTTCTTATGATGTTGGTAAAGCTACTTCCATACAACCATCGAACTTCTCATGCAGGTAAAGCACAGACAAGGTACAGTATAAAGCTCGTTATGGACTTCCCCATTAACCAGTCTCAGGAAAGCTGCAGCAAGGGATGCTAAAATGAGGTGCATGTCTCCCAGCCTCAAACGAGCCCTATTATTTTTGTGACAGTGATATCATTTCAGTCCTGCACCAGATGTAATGTGGACCCTCTGAGGCACTTCTGTTTTCTGCTGAAGACTAATGGTTGCTGGTGAAAGGGTTGCAACTAAATGATTGACAAACACATTTCACGGTAGGAATCTATATCCACAGCAAGGATCCAGAGACCCTGTATCCTACAGCTAGCTCCAACTATGATCTGCATCTGAACCTGAACCTGAACTTGTTGCATGTTTATGTCTCCACAGAGTGTCCTGCCTAGTCCTGTACAGTTACAGAGACGACTACTACAGGATTCTATTCTAATAAAGCTCCATGTTTGACGTTTGTCCAGAAGGGTTGTTCTGACCAAGGGAATTGTACCTGTGGAGTTCACGAACTGGATATCAGTTGGAGTTATTTGAATCAAGAGAAGTTATGACAGACAACGTGATAAATCATGTACCATCAAGTCAGCACTCCTTGAGATTATGTTCTCAGCCCTGCACTTTCACTCAGTTTCTCCACCCCTGCCAAAGCAAAGTTGGTGACTGTCAAATGTCCTGTGTAGTTGTTTTACCAGCTAGGGGCACCAGCAGGCTGTTTGCTAATGTAGTTTTGAGTGGTGCATCCTTTTAGATACAAGAGTTGGAGTTTAAAATAACTGAGGATCTTTTCATGCTGTAAGTACTGTGCACTTTCCTGATTGAGACACGTGTTACCAAAAGGCAAAAGTTTAATATCGGTATGAGATGTGTTAGTGAGCAGTTCCTTTGTTGTTTTTCCACTGTATTATATTCTATTTCTTCACATGCTTCTGTAGATTATCTGCTCCACCCACTCTTCCCAAATCAGGTAGTCTTAAGCTGAATATGGTCGCACACCAGCCCCCTGAGAGATATTGTACTTCTCTGCTGTCAGCTGAGGGAAGCTTGAGGTTTTGAACAGCCATTTTCATTCAGGTCTCAGCCAGTGCTTGCAGTGAAACTTTGAGCCTGCAGTATTGTCACATACTCAAACACACTGCTGTTTCCAGCTGCAGCTTTCCACTCAGGTCACCCAGACTGTTTGAATTACAAAATTACGTGCTTGAATTGAAGAAAAAAGTGCCTTTTAAATTTATCAATTTCTAGGCCAGGCCCAACAATAAGTGAATTTTGAGACTGTACTGAATTTCGAGGATCCATGCTGTTTAACTACTCTGCCAGTGAATACACTGATTGCAAGAGAGGAATTTTTTACACATACAGTTCAGTTAAAATCATGGCGTATAAATTTAAACCATAATGTTCCTTAGCCAGTGAATACATTAATGTACAGGAGAGGATTTTTAACACATATGGTTTAGTTAAAAATCATGGTGTCTGAATAGTGTTCCTTAACCAAAACTAATCTCCATCCTGGGTCAATGTCAGTCATTTGCTGAGCTGTATTGGCACATTCAGACCGATTCATCTTGTCCGCTGAATGTAGCCTTCCATCACTGCCACTAACCAGACCAAGGCTGGGAACAATGCTAAAGCTAAATTTGTGACTTGAATGTTCCCTGTGTACTCAAAAGTTTGATCATAGCTAATGTTCAGTTTCAAAATTGATTACCTGTTTTCATGGCATTTCATTATTGACTATCTGTATTTCACTTCACATGTTCTTCCTGCCTTCGGGCTGAAGAGAGGAGGAGGACGCCTAATCAAGGGTAAAAGGAAATGGGCCCTGAGATTTAACTGGGGCTTTCCCTAGTTTCCTGGTGTAACTTGGCAGTGGCTAAGTGGGATTAATATAGTTTTTACAGTCCAGGAAGAAGTCATTTGGCCCATCAGTTTTAGGACAGCGTTCTCAGTACAGCAATCCAGTCAGTCCCATCCTACTCTTTTTATTTTAAAAAGAATAACCAAAATGTTTAGAAAACTTAGATAAAACGTCAGTACTAGGGATCACGAACCAAGGCCAATGGACTCCACATGCTCCCTTTCCATGGACACTGGAGTAGGGACATACCTTTGGAAGAAAGACAGTCAGACATCCTCAGAGTCCATTCTATCCCTGCAAATTTTAATTCCCTCAAATGCTAGTCTAGTTACTTTTGAAATTGCTTCCACTCCTGTAACAGGCAGTATTTTATAGGTTATTACTATTCACAAAGTTCTTCCTCATGTCCCCCAGACTTCTTGTCCAAAATCTAAAATCTGTGTTCCTTCATCCTTATATCATCCCCTCGTGGGAACAGTTTTAGATAAGGTGGACAGTCTGGGACACCTGTATCAAATCACCTTATACTGAGCAGATTAGAATACTTTATCTTAGGAAATTTTGTTTATCAAAACCTTTAGTAATTCTGATACTGTGAATTTAGATTTTAAAAAAAACCTATAGTGAAAACAAACAAATCTGTATATATGTGAGATACCTGTCTCCTGAACTTTCTCTGTATCCCATCACTTGTTGGTTTTGTTCATGAGTGAAGGAAGAGGTAATGCTGGTTGACTTAATTTAATCTGTTATCAAACCTAGCCCAGACTGTAAATGGCTCTATATAACTTGCACCTGCCCTGAACAATCTGATGAGTAAAGGTAATGTACAAACACCAATGTTTTACTGAAAAAAATCCCACTATACTGTCATGCTTCATTAATATAATCTTAATTTCAATTAAGTTTTTTGTACATCCAACTAACATCCATTGAATTTTGAAACTTTGTTCCTTGCTATGTTCCTCTGATCTTATTCCTAATATACAAGCCTATACCCATCAGGATTCAATACATTATCTCTATCAAATAGGAGACCATTTTTCTTGAAATTATATTTCTTGATTTCCCCCATGTTAAACATCCTCACAAAATCTTACATTTCAATAAAATCATCAATCTTACCTCATAAGACAACCCCTTCAACTCAGGAATGTGCCAAGTGAACCTTCTCTGAACTGCTTCAAATACAAGTGTCTCCTTATTTAAGGAGGGATACCAAAACCATACACAGTAAGATGTCGGTATCTTCCTAAACTCCATCTGTGAAATTTCTGTCCACTCACTTAACATGTTTATATCCCTTGTAGACTCTCTTGCATTCTCCTCACTACTGCTTTCCAGCAAATTTGTCTTCAGGCCATTCCATCTCTTCAGCCAAGTCACCAATGTAGACTGTAGACCAGTTATGACCAAATCATTGATTCCCTGTGGCAGCCTGCTGGCTATAATTTGCCAATCTAAAAGTGGACTTTTATCCCAACTGTGTCTTGATGATTAGTGAAGCCCAGAATTCACCTCAGATTAGTGATACAATTATAGTATCCCAACCTCTTGAACCTGCGGTCCTAAGTTGAAGTCCCACCTACTCCAGAAGTGTGTAATAACATCTGTGAACAGGTTAATTAGAAAATATTGTGTTTTACAGAGAGGACACTACACGTCTCTCAATAGAAGGTACTCCCAGAATTGATTAATGAGATGAATAACAGCATCTCACAGTAAATCATAAATGCCAACAAACAATTTATTTAAACATTTCTAATTCAGATGTAAGTGGCAATAACCTGATGAACTGAGAATCTAAGCATACAATAATTTTTCTGTTGTAGGTAATGGAAAACTGTGGCTGATTGGGTTTTTTCTTGACAAATGGTATGTTGGAGCAGATGCCTGTAGACACATAAAATACATGAATTGTTTAAATGTGAATTACATTAGGAAAAAAACTGCTTTCTTTTTAGGTCATGTTTGGTCACAAATAGAAGGAGTAAAAGGTGACAGTAATGTAGATAGAATTGTACTTTTGTACATCGCTATGAATACTGGAAATCTGAAATAAAAACACAATGCTGAAAAATTCAAGTCTGGGAGCATGATGGAGAAGAATGGGAGTTAATGGCCCAGATAATCCGATGGCCAGAAAACCCCTGGAATTTGGAGACTGCTGACTCACTTACGCTTAATAATTGCTTGGAAAAGGTTAGATGATTGACTGTAACTCCAAGGTAAATATTAAACTGAAATCCTGCCTTACTCATTCCCTCCAGACCCAACACCCTTCCCCTCATCTCTGACCCAAAATCCTTGTTGCGCTGCGCACCCCCCCGCCCAAGAAAAACAAACCTAGCCTATTTGAAACACTAATCCACATCCCTACTTACTTACCTCACAGGCTTATCATTCCACAGTAGCTCTCAAAGTAACTACTATACATTTAAACTACAGAATATGGCACTCTGATTTCAAAGGGGACATAGTTTTGATGATGACCATCTCCATTGCTGGGTTTGAGGATTCCTGGACAGATTCACTGGAGCCCTGTGTCCAGTAATTTCCAGAGTAAAGGTCATTTAAAGTGGACATGTTTTAAGCCTACTGGACTCAGAAATTATGTTTCTAACCCTAATCGGAATATCTGAGCCATTCAGTATTGATATGTTGATGACCTTGCAGTAGAGGTCTGAGTTCTGGGGATGTGAGACAACTTGATGCTCTTTGCTGGAATGTCTATCAAGTTTTAAATCCCAATGCCACGATGGTGAATTGCTATTCCAGAAGAATAAACCAGAAGACTAGAGGGACGCTTCCGAATTAGAATTTGATACTTGCTCGTGACATGTTTTGAACAGATCAGACCAAGGTCTGAGCTAGATGTCTGTTAACATTTCTGCAATGCAAGAAATCAATGAGGAGATTAAGGCTGACTCAGCTTCAAATAAATCAAGGGATGGATGAATAGGAAAGAACGAGGCTTGTTCAACAATTCAGTATTCAATCCAGTAACATTCATTTATATGGCTCAACTCATCTTGGTTAATGCCTTACTCAAGATCATCAGAATAATGTCTTTACTGTTCATCACATTGTAGCAATTTAGATCAACCAGCTTGTCAAAATCATCAGGTGTGTATGTAAAGTTCAGGGTGCTGTATGGTGAATGCTCAGCTTCCAGGACAAAACTGTGATTGATTTTATCTTCCTCAGATGTACGTGGGACTCCTACAATAGATACAGACAGCAGTGACTGACAAAGCTCTGCTGAGTTTCTTTAATATATAAATGCACAATGTCAAAAGTAATGACTAACATAGCAATACATCCCAGAACATGTAGAAGAGAAAATAGAAGATTGAATAACAGCTGAAGAATTGGAGGCTTTGCAGATTGTCTTGGGGATAAGTTACAAAGAAATGTTGGAGAGGAGAGATAGTGAGAATGAATACGAGCTCCAGAATCTTGAGGGTAGACTTGGGTGATTAGGGAGGACGAGATAGAGGAGAATGCAATGGAGACTAGATGAAAGAGTAAGTCGAGTAAGTTGCAGGGACAGGAGCAACAAAACTAATTGTGGATTGGAAAAAGAGAAAGGAGGATTTTGGTTTTCAGGGAAATGTGGGTGAAATACCTTCATGTTTGTGTGGATCACAGGAGGGGATTGTTGGAAGAATTAAAACAGGGCTTGATAAATGTATGAAGGAAGGGTGACAGAAAGATGCTTGGAGGAAATGAAGGCTTGAGATAGAACATGAGCTGGAGTAGACTGGTTGACTTTTGAGGAGCTCAGTCATTAGTTTGAAAGAAAGCTCAGGAGTGCCTGAGGAAACCCAGCAAGCTACTGATTCATGTATGGATAAGAATGGTGATTTTAGCTGAGACGGTTCGTGCCTTGTGGAGGAAGTGGGATTTAGGCTCTTAAGTGAATTTTTTATCACTAGT